TATGGGAACCCCATTTAAATATTTTTACAGAGATACAGCCAGGTGACAGAAAGACAAACAGACAGTGAGGCCCGTTTGGGTACGGAACCCTAATTATATTAATTAATTTAAGAGTGCCATTTTAGTTAAAAAATAATATTACGATGAGGAGTGTATTTAACAAATAAACTAATTTAATGTTATACACGCCCCAATCATCTTAGTGCGACCTAAGGCAAAAAATCGATAAATGTTATAAAACTTAAGAAAAGTGGGTTCATTATTATAAGTACAATAGCGTTAACTAAAAAAAGAGAAATCTACGCCAGAGTACTCGAAGAAAAATTTTAACTTCGAATAACATTGCATTATAAATAATTTCTTTATAATTTTCTTGGTTATATTATTTAACAATTTATCTTTCAGCCGCAAGGTATAAATTTTTATTTATTCTTTTTATGTTATGTATATAATGGATTAGTTTTTACACCACTGCACGATTTAAAAAAATAATTATTAATAATAAAACAAGACTATAATAAGATTCAATTTTGTAAACAATTACACTATTTTTCGATTTTTTTTATACACAAATGTCACGAAAAAATATAAACTCACCATTTTTAGATGTGGTATACACATTCTCCGATCAAAGACACCCATATCTTAATTCAGTCAGACATTAAAATGAAATAAAAATAAAGTAACTTGTTTAAAAATGTCGTGCTTCACAAAAGGATTTTATCACATATTTCACAACCACATCAGCAATATCGATCAAAAATTCTGCAACATTCAAGTTCGACACTGGTTGGCACGCGCGGCTTTTAATTAAAAAGTAATTCGCGTTCAATGTTCAAAAAGTGCTTTGGCGGGAAACGTCGACTCGCATAGAGTGCGCGCCACAAACTGCCAAGATGGCGGGCTTTTTTGACGATTCACACGAGTCGATTCACTTTCTACGACCTTACGTTGTATGCGACTTATAATTAAGCATAAAGATTTACGTAACCGGTCGATGTAACTCACCAAGTATTTGATTTTCCGGAAAGTTATTGGCTTTTCGTGTGTAATTTCACTATTTCAAGGATAAAGCGCGTGTAAACGTAAATTTTCAAAAAATACCCATTGAATGACGTAAGGAAAAGTTTAGAATGGCAAATCTATAGTTTAATGTAAAATGATGGAAGTCCAAAGGATATTGCAATAGTTGGTTTGATTTCCCGACCTTTTAAACAGTTTTTAGTACTTTATAGTCCATTTTCATTACAAAGGCTGAATGGACTCTATAAAGTGTTCGAAACGTCGGCAATTGCAACCAAAATTAAACTTGACGAGGTATGTAAAAGTTACATTCCGATAGTTAAAAGTAATTCTTAAAATTTTGTATTATAAATAAATGAAATACGTGAATTAACTTCTTATAAAGCATGACATTAATAAGCAGTTCAAATGCGAAAAACCAAATAAATTCGTCCACCATCTCGGTTTTCTTATTTATTACACTAATCCCAACAGCTATAACGCTTCAACCCATAATAATAATGGAAACGTTATTTCGTAAGCGTGTCAAAATACAGAAGCATCTCACGCTAGCTTACGAAAAGTCGTGTTTATATCTTGACCAAAGATTCACAATTATCTGTAACTTTTAAAGTGAACAATTTGAAGCAAACTGTCCGTGATACTCTACCTACCTACCTACGGATAACAAGCCCGCAGAGTTTTTTGCCGGTTCTTCTCTGTTCAGGCCTAGTTTAGTGAACCGGGCACTTTGATATTCGAAATATATTTCGAAAATTTTTATTGTCTCTTTTAATTTTATGGGATATGGATCCCGTATAAAATAGTAGCAATTTGGTAAAGCATAAAGTGAATAAAATTATAATCGGGTTTCATCATCATCATCGTCATTTCAGCCTGCTTAAGTTCACTGTTGATCGTAGGCGTCCCCAATAGAATGTCACGAAGTACCTACGATCCTGAGTCACGTGCATCCATTGACTTCCCGCACATTTGCCCATTTGCGAGCCATATTGTACGCCTAAGAAAATTTTCAATCGTGTTTAATTTTCATTATTGGTAGCTGTTAATTATTCATCAATTTCCTCCATCAAGAACAAATCTGAAAATTTTTAAAAACATTCGTGCATGCCGTTTACATGGACAGAATTATTACCAACTATTTGCCGCGTGATTATAAATAAACCTAACCTAAAATGCCAATCATAAAGTCATTATCAAGATATAAGGGTAAAAAGCGATTCGTGTTTACTAAAATCGGCTAAAATATTCTACATACGCGGCCCGCCCAGCACACTAATATCGATTCTAGCCTTCGGCGTGTTCTAGATCATAGGTGACTGGAGTGGACAAAAACTGCTGCTTTAGAATGCAATCGGGCGACTTAGCAAGCCGCGCCTCGACTAAACGCTGCGAAAACTGCTACAGCTATGTCATTGCGGAACTCATGCGCTAAAGGCCCGTTTATAAAATGTCGCAACACACGAATTGTAGGCATAAAAATGTAGAATAATCCAGCCGTTTGCAGCCGAAAGGTATTGCAACGATAAGCGTAGAATTTTTCTCTCGTATCTATAGTCTGTTAGCTGTACCCGCTTTACCGTACCCCCGTACTATTGTAGCCAAATATGTATGTAAAATACAGATACATAATTCGCTTGTAATTTTCATTCATAATGAGATCTTTTCTCTTAATGTCGATGATCTACCTTTAGTGGTCCCGAGTTTCATTGATATGGTAATAAAAATATAGGAGATAACAATTTATCTACGATCTCTTAAGCAACTACCTTACAACGCAAAATAATCATAGAAATCGAATGAAGTGGTAAAGAACATTTCGCCTCCATACGGTTTCGTTTAGATTATTTTCTTATCAACTCCGACTCTCCAGCTCCACACTCCCCTCCGCATTACTAAAGAAGAAAATGTTGAAATCCGACAATGTGATGACGAATTAATTACTTTTATCTTTTGCCTATGATCTAGATCCTTCGGTTTTTTTTAATTCGGTTAAATACGATCACTGATAGTTCGATTTACCAAGAAACTGTTAGCGATATAATTTTCCCAATATTGTATTGTATCATAATATGACCCTTAAACCGTGCAAACACAAATGTGAATGTGAAGTTTGAAAAGTAGAAAACTTATTGGCGAACACTGCAAGGTTTTGATCAAATTAGTCATAGGACGCCAATTAAAACCTGGTGGTAGCGGCCTTCATTACTTGCAATAGTTCTTTTTTTTTCTGAAGAAACTGCTTTTATGTTTCCTCAATCATCACTTGGTTAATACGTAACACGAGAAAAATAAACAACATCGACAAATTCATGCCAAAGCAGACATATTAAAAACTTTTAAAGAGTTTTAACATCTGAAATTAAGAAAATTTTAGAATAATAAAAAAATACAGACATTGAGCAAATAAAAATTCATTAGGTGAAAACTTTCCTCGGACATTATTATTCAATGCACATTGATTGTAAAAAGTATACGGAGGTCAACGTATGTTACTCATTGAACATAATACGACTGCGAAGCAAAATAAACCGTTTCGTTTAAGACATAACGATAAAAGACCTTTAATCCTTTTGAGTGGACATGGTAAAATGCGAGCCATATTGTACGCCTAAGATACTTTTCAATCTGGCAGCGTGAGATGTATAGTGATGCGATATAAGTAGAGCTGGTCGTTGAACTTGTAGTGTTATTTTGTCAGCTGGATTTATATGAATAGATTCATAAAATTAATAATTTGTATCTGCGCATTGAGTTTAATCATTATTATTAAATGTACTGTTAAGTCGTTAAACATATGTGATAAAAAAAATTAGTATTAGTTTTTATACTAATCATAATTGAAGAATAGCAATTTTGGACTCATGATTTTACCATAAGATGATTAATATCATATCGTAATCGATAGGGCTCTACCCTAAGCCGTAGCAATTTCTCCACTGTTGTTGCCCTAAGGTTTAAATGCATAATTAAAATATCATTACTTATGCGACATGTATGAAGATCACAAATAATCTACGTCTACTCTTAAAAAGCTTAACATCGAGATTGAATCTGGAAATGTTCTTCTTAATAAATTTTGGCAAAAGATATTCTAAGAAAAATTAAAAAAAACTACGTACTAAGTTAAAATTCAATGCGCTATACGTAATAGCGGCACATCAAAAGCCGTTCCGTTCTACGAAGAACGGAACTGGACATCCGGCGTGATGTCCTATCGAAAAATGCAAATTACTATTAGAATGATCACGACCATTTTGGAATTTTTATTCTTAGTATAGCGGTTGCGGCGCTAACACGTTAACACATGCGTTCGATGAAACCTTAATAGTCTCGGGGCTGAAAGCGTTACAATCAGTTAAAATAAATAAAGTAATTACTTTAAATGATATTCTATAGACTAAAGACTTTGCCGCATGCATGAAACTAGATTTTGACTTTTGATGTAACCGCCATCTATTGTAATAATTGGTTAATAAGTACGTGTTCTATGAATAATATACTAATGCAACATAGAATTAATATAACGCAATATAATATTATGCTTCACTGAGAAAACATTTTTTTTTATAGTAGCAACTTATATTTTACGTAAACTGCTAATACCGAATTAAACAAGGAATCTCTTTGTAGAGATTTTATTAGTCCAGAAACAAAAGAAAATTATAGGAACTTACTTTTATAAATCTCGACAAAACCTACATTAAATCAATTAAAATTATTTATTGTTTAATTAATATAATCGTCTTAATTTTTAAACACTGCTTCGCCAACATCGTTACATGGCAACACAGTAAAAGACAGTCAAGACAAACGATACACGATGAAAGTGTCGCAAATTTTATCTAATAAAATATGTTAAAAAATAAACGTGTATTGTGCCATAATTACATTTCTTAATAATAATTGTGCGTATATGAAAGACATGTTTTAAAGTGAGCCAATTCTTTATAAGAAATCTGAAGATACACAACAAAATGGCCAAGTAAGCACTATGAGATTCTATTTAGAATTCAGAAATATTTTCTTCCATTGAAACGCGCTAATAACTTTTTAAATACGTAATTTATAGAAATGACTAACCCTTAGGGTATACAATACATTTAAGATATTTAAAAATTTCCTATACCATGTGTAAAATGCATCGCAATTTTTCATCATATATTTTTTTGTTTTTATTTCAACTAATTATATATTTACTTTTTGTCATTCATTACATGTGTTCCAATATATATTTATTTTATTTTGTACATTAGGAAATTAGTTGTTTATGCATTTGCACTTAAAAAAAGAACAGAATAGTTTATTTTGTGTATCTCTTCAATGCAAATTAAAGTATTAAAAATCAACTCTGAAATATGGGGCAATATACGACTATGATAAAAGTCCATTGTTACACATATTTTTAGTGATATGCTGCAGCTATTATATGTTTCTGGATACAACACAATATTGATTCTTCTAGGATTAATGTAGACTTATCAGAAATTTGCATTTACCAGAAGGATTTAAATTATCAATAGTCCTAATATTCTCTAGTTTCCAATATGCTAATGTTTAAAATTTGGCTTGCAAAAGGCTTACAACTTGGTTATTTTCACAAAATCCTTTAAAGTTGATGTTTAATCGATTAAACTGTAATTATCAGGCAAAATCATAGGTGAATATCCTATGAAATTTCTGTTGTTATAAGTAAATTGTCTTTTATAACATTTATTATTTTTTGTAGGGAAATGATGATAGTGTTTGTGTATGACACACAATGCTGTGTCTCTGAGGAAGATGATCCCGCTGATGCTGTACTATACTTTCATCCTGGTTGGGTGTCGGACACACAAAGGCATGCCTTGGCTGGACAGGTAACATTTTGCTGTGTCTACTTAGAAATATATGTTTTGTATGACTTTTTATTCAATTAAGCAAATAGCTTTAGCCCCGAAAGGTAAGAGTAAGAATTTCATCCAGGACAGTTCTTACTAGCTCCTGCCCGCGACTATGTCAGCATACAATAGGCTGAAGGCAATAAATCAAAGCAAAAACTACTGAATCTATACAGTAGTTTTGAGTAGTTTTCATATACTTTTTCTCGGTGAAAAGGATTATTATAAAGGATTTATCCTAGAATAGGGGAAACACTTTGACAACAATGATTACATTATCTACTCAGTTTTATTTTTAAAATACCTACCCCATTTTTATATTTTTGGGAAAAGCTGTAAAAATGGGATAGTTGTTAAGTCGAATCTTGGAATTTTTTTGTGTTATCTAGATTATTTCTTATAGTTCAGTACAAAAAGCTTTGTATGTAGCTTTAAACCAAAAATATTTACACCAAAATCATAGTAATTTTATATATTATCGCATTCAAGTCCTAAAATGTGGCAGGCAGTAAGCTTACCGTGGTATATTCAATGTAATTGATGTGCAAGTTGTGCATATTTTGAATTTTTTAAAAGGTGGCAATGCGTCACTTACTTGCAGGTGAACTGCCAGCTTGCTTGCCATGTTCTCACATAAAAAAACGTGATACCAAGCCAACGCCGCGGATTGGGTCCACGCGACCAGCATTTCGGTGACCCAGAGAAAATTTACCTTTTCCGCACGCCTGCCAAGTGACCACTTTTACACACTATCTAGGAATAAGAGTCAAAATACCATTTGCTTAAACGGTATTTTATAAACAGTTTCATTGTTATAACAATTATTATGTATGTATGGACCATTTTGAACCTGTTCATTAGCAGTCAACTTCCTTCGTATACCTAAGTCTCGTCGTGCCTATGAATTGAAAAAAAGTTTGATCAAAAAATCCGAAAAAGATAGCTTTATTATATCAAACGATGTAGCTAACTTATCGCGGCCGTTTTAGTAAAAACCATTAGTGAATTCGGTCCGTCTAAATAGCATCTTATACAGGTAGAGCGGGAAACTGTATGGTAAAATAAAAAAAAATATCTATGACCACAAATTATCTTAACGCTCTACTCTGAGAAGGTCTAAGTATTAGTTAGTGTTTATGACCTTAATAAGGACGCGAAATACTAATTGAGTTAGCAAAATCCTAATTGAGTTGCAGAAGATTTTCCATTTTTAGGGTTGACTGAAAGGTAAAACAGGAACCCTTATTGAAATCGGTCCGATGATGGGTCACCACCGATTTTCTCAGGCACGGGTGGACCTTCATGGCAGTCTATGGGGGAGGCCTATGTTCAGCAGTGGACTGAAACAGGCTGAAATTATGATGGGTGGACCTAGCAAGTTGATTATAGCAGTAGGGCCACGCAACAGTTCCTGCTGTTGCACTAATGGACGTTTCCGGGAAGTACCACGGCTTCACAGGAAACCTGAGTGAAGTGGAACTTATCATGCTTTCACGTTTAACCGGGGCCTACTTTTCGTCCGGTTGTCAACGCATCTGCAAGACCCGCAGGAGTTATAGATATTCATGGACCCCGGTGGGCCGCCTGCTTGCTTGACAATTTTTCCCATTAAATAAAACAATATGATGCAAGAAAACGCATTACTGCAATATCACCAGAAAAGGCCTTAAAGTGAAATAGAAGTCTGTCGTGTATTTTTACGCAGATGCTTTATGTTAATGTAAAAATATGTTTTATACTTCCAGTCTGTCAATTAGAGTCATCGCCTATAGTAATATAGGTACTTATAAAAAAATCGAAAATAGAAGAATGTGTCTTGGCATACCTATATTTAAAATTAAATATAACGGCTAAGAATCTGTAATGTGTTCGCGAAATGAATAAAAATCATATTTGTGGTTTATGTTGAATATTATGTTTATGAGTAAAAATAAGGGGAAAGTATGTTTTTCGAAATGAGACAAAAGAAATTATCAAGTATTCAGTGGTCGAGATGTATATTTTTTCTTTTATTATTTGCCATCGAGGGTTTTCCGCACCACCTGTATTTCTATTACCTTGTTTGGCCAACATAATGGACTCGTAAAATGTCGAAGAACCGGTCACCCGGCCAGAAATTATAATAATTTATTAATTGTAACGATTTCAATGACGCATCAACATGAAACATTATAATTCTATCTCGAGGACCTAACCAACGATTCCAGAATGTATGCTTGAATAATTAAGAGGCGTTTGGGGTACAGGAAAGACATCGAGTTAATCGAATTAAATTAAGTAATTAGGTTAGTTTGTGTTAGACATAAATTGTACCTAGTATTATTTCCATAATTTACCTAAATTTTCTTAATACGAAGTCCATACCCATGCTAAAATATAGTATTTTTTTTTGATAATCGATAGCAGACTATTATTGGTATTTAGCTAGGAATAATAAACTCTTGTTGATCTTACTATCCTATAGTTTATAGCAAAGTGGTTCTGGTCATACCCCAAATATGATTCTGACTGTGGACTCGTTTAATTATTAATTTATAATTTGTGTAAAGAATAATTTCGCCGCAGAATACACCTACATGAAAAATTTACATACTATATAACAAACATGCTATTAGCTCATTCATAACTGTTTTATATCTTTTTTTTATGTCATAAGTGGCAAACGAGCTGGCGGTTCACTGGATGTTAAGTGATAACCGCCGCCCATGGACATAACAACTTCCGTAAGGTTGCAAATCCATTGCCATCTTTAATAATAGTGGGCCCCGGCTACCTCACTCACCAGACGAATCGCAGAAGTATGACACTTCCAATTCACGACGGTCTTCTGTGAGGTCTTAGTACCTACCCGGAAGCACCTGCCCGTTCGTGCAACAGCCGAAGCTTTTGCCACGCTCAAACGTACCGTATAATGTATCTATGTCAATGGTGTGAACAATGTATTAGTACATCGGGTCGAAAGCCTCGTACTATGATTTACGTGAAACGTAGTTTGACATCGCCTACTCAAGCGTAAACTATCACGCGTGTATAAAAAGGGCTTCGCAAACTATGCTAATGCAACAATGCACTCAGTGTGAAGCCACGCTGAAATCTTCCGCGTCGCGTAAATCTCCCCGGAACCCATTAACAATGTCACGCTAGCTTTGCACCTTCTGTACATAAAGTCGATGGACAAACCTCCATTCGTCACAATTTATTACCCACCTTCGCACCGTCAGTCACCTTTGGGTAGACAACTATGTTATATAGTTACTCCATCTATAGAGCATAAAACCGTAGCGGTATCTCTGCCTTTCTGTCTCGATTTAGACAAAGCCAGTTTTAGAAAAATGTTCAACCAAGAGAACCTTCCCCTAAATCAACTATCTCCTGAGCTATGTCGGTTACGTTTGTTCGATATCTTCATTGCGAACGCTATCATGCATAGAAATATCGAGCATAGCCCGCTCTACAATTGGCCGAATGAGTAAGACTCATACGGCTACTCGTAGCAGTTAAGGACCACGTCTCCGTTCCCTAGGTCATCATTGGCAATACACATTTATCCAAATCTTTATTAGGCTTCAAATATTGGATTAGAACATATGCCTAAGTCTCCCGAACGATGTCCATCCGAGCTGGATTCGCCGAATTACCCCCGCATCGAACTTTAACTTACCTAACCGGACTAATAATTGTCCTAGGCAAACGTATAGTTTCTTTAAAATGGCCGAGTAATGACAACTTTATACGTAAAAATGTAAGAAACTACTCCTGTTTAAAGATCATTCAAGAACGTGCATTTTCCTTAAGAACGCTTACAATAACTGAAGGCTCCAATTGGCTAATGTAATACATTATCTTAATAAATATATAACTTAAAATTAACGTTTTCATCTGTCGCTTGTCGTTGCCCTTTATTACAAACTATGATGGCAACCACTAATGTTAAAAAAATAACCGGGCGTCCAGCTAACTTAGCAAACGGACACGGCAGTGTCGGAATATCGAATTTGTCGGAATATTTAGAGTTCTGCCTAAGACACTCCCTATAATTTTAATATAATTCTAATTATAAAATTAACGACAAAAATTCTAATTCTCTTACGTTAGTTATGATTTGCCAAAATAATGTTTGGCGTGTCCGAGTACAGTAGAACCGGACTACCGGGGGTTCACTTTGAGCAGAAATTTACATCTGCCCAGACTTAAACTTGATCCTTGCTTTCTATTGTAATAATCTGTCTAATTCTGTTGCAGGTGGTTGGCGCAGCGCACTGCATCAAAAGCCTATTCTCCCAGCCCGTGGCCATCACTCTGCAAAGCGGCAAGTTCATCCTCAAAGAATACGGCAGATACGTGTTGGTGAGTGTATTCCCGTACCTTAGTTTTAAGCGTCATCTGTGCAGAGTATCGATGTATCGAATCGATAACACACGTGAATAATTTTAAAGGGCTTGCCCGTTCAAATTATTCACCTTGAATATTTTTTAATAGGTGAATAATTTTAACGGGCAAGCCATTTAAAATTATTCACCTATTAAAAAATATTCACCTCACAGAAGGCAGGTGTGAAGTGGAAGTGTCATACGTCTGGTGATTTAGGTAGCCGGGGCCTACTTTGTTGAAATGTGGCAACGCATCTGCAACCTACGGGTGTTGCAATGGGTGGTGCTTATCGATCAACATCAGGTGATAAAACCTTCAGATAAGACTTAGGGAGATGGATTTAGTCACAGATCTTGGTGTTGGTTTTAACGGTTTAAATATATTAATAGCCCTGAATTATGTAACGCGGAAAGTATTAATCTCAACAGTGTATATTTAAAGTTTTGTGCTTTGAACTAATTCCATATTTACCCAGATTGTAATTCGATGAGAAAGTAATAAAAATCAAATATAGAATCTAATCTAAGCCTGCGATTCTACCCACTCAAGTATTTAACATTCCGTGCTTAATTGAATAAGGCTTAGGAAACAGGGGGAGTAGAATGCCGATGCTCTATGTATTACACAATCTAGTGTTGAATTATGGTTTCATCGGATATTGATCGTAACATTTAAAATGTTATTTTTGCAAGTGTGTCTCAACTACGATCTCCCCACCACTGGAAAAATATTGTGTGATGAACATCGTGTTTTTCCAGTGTCTGGGTGTTTATATATGTATAATAAGTATTTATTTACAAAAGTAAAGTATGTTTCAGTATGTTTATCAGTTTTCTAGTTCAGAACAGTACAGAACAGTAGAGAACGTTGTGTAAAAATGTGTTCGAAAAATATATTTTATTATTTTTATATAACTACTCAGGGATAGTAAAATCGACTAGCCAGTGCTCGACTACAATCCCATCTTATCACGCGCGGGTCCTCCTGAAATAGGATTAAGGGAAGGGAGGATTATTACCCTATTTAACCTATATCTTTTCAAAAGTGTAACTTGGTTACTAACTAATATTTTTACGCTTTTCTATACCAGACTGACTACAATAAGATAAAGGAATTAATCGATTAATCGATCATAATTATATTATATATTATAATGGAGGCACTAAACCAAATCCTCCGGTTTTGTGCCTCCTCGCGAAAGAAGTGCAACGATGTGAGGTTTTCGCCTTTTTCGCAGCGAGCCAGCCAACAGGCACGCTACGCTACGTATAGTATGGCCCAGAAAGAGACACGACACCACCTCTTGCTATTTACGCAGAATTGCTTGGCTCCTGCGCGAGTCATCGGAACTTACTTAATTATCAACCACCATTTATATTTGTGATATATCGATTAGTTTTTCTATTCTGTTCTATTTGATTTTACTATTTTTCAAACCGACTTCAAAAAGGAAGGAGGTTCTCAATTCGACTATATTTTTTATGTTTGTTACCTCAGAACTTTCGAGTGGGTGAACCAATTTTGTTGATTCTTTATTTTATTTGAAAGCTGGTCCTTCTCATGTGGTCCCATATTCATTGGTATTGGCCCAAGAGGGCTCCGGAGATACTTGGGGAACTCCTTAAAATCAATTATAAAATGAATACAGAGCAAGATATTTGAAGTCTGTTTTGTTTTTCGTGAATAAAAAATAGACTTGTTTATTAATCGGCTGGTGTAGCTGGGATAGTATTGGATTAACTTTACCCGCGTTAAGGCGGTTATCTAGTCTTTTGCCTTGAGTTAATCCGAGGTGATGTAGCGGTAGTCTACGCGATTTCCCCAGCAATGCTGAAGCATATGAACACGACGGGATAAAAGCATTTGTAACTATAGGGTTAGGTTAACTATAGGTCCTGTGTAATCTTTTGCAATGTCGGTATGAACGTTTGTTTTACGTTGATATAGTCCTATCAACTCCTATCCATCTTCTTCAGGCTATTGGCTTCAGCTTTGTGATTCGAGGGTTCGATTCCCACACGGGACAAGTATTTGTATTACCCGCAGATAACTATTTATTATTATGTCTTTTGTAAAACGTTCTAGCAACACAATGATATTCTACAATAAAGACAAGATTTAAAAAAGAATGAACTGAAAAAATTAAGTTATGCCCACCGATGAGTTTACCATTTTATCGTTTACTTTCATGCAAAAATCACTATTGCGTATGAAATGTACATGGAATAGATCTGCGTGTACTCTGTTATGATTCTAAAATTAAATTTGACATTTAAATAACCTCCGACATCGAAATACCTACCTCCTAAGAACTACAAAAATGCCCCAAGTGACAGTACGCCACTTTTCAAATCAATCGGACTGGTGTAAGTTGGTAAGACCCTTTTGTCAAGTAGTAAATGAGCTGATGATATTCACACGCCTGAACGCATCCTCATAAGTTATACCTAAAAACATCTTGATCACATCAGCTCAAAAACATTAAAACCTGTCCATTAATTTGGGAGCTAGGACGCTACAGACAGACCCACAAATACACACGTTAAACCTATAACACCCCCTCACTTTACGTGGACATAAAAATGTCCGAGAACAATATATTTAACGAATGAGAAGTTCGTCACAATGTTATTCTAAAGAAACAGTTAACTTGTATATTTCTTAGATTTTGAGGTGCTGCTTGTAATAAAGAAATTCAATTCCCCCGTAGTCAAGGTTTAGTCTTAAACCCGCAAAACAATTGACGTTAGCAGGCAAAGCCGCGGATCACGTTAATAGCCTGAGGAGATTATCCAATTTGTGTCCGACTACCAATTTGTGGGACAGACTGTTGTCTATTGGATTACCTCTATATTTAACTCTGAAAATAGTATCATTATCTTTGTAAACAAGTTTTATAAGATTGCTTCTAGATTATTTATGATTGTCATATATGTGTCACGATTAATCCGAAACATGTGTGGGAGACATATATTTCTCTGCATTCTCATCTCTAGCATGAAAATGACACAATCATAATCTCATTGTGCACCTGTGGTCATAGCCAGTGGTTGTAGATCCCACAAAATATTGTCCCTTTGGCGATATACTCTGTAGCCACGCGCTACGCTTTGTCTTTATTAATGACTGTGCCCAAATGAACCACTCCTGCAAGACAAGAGCCTCAAATAACCCTTATACCCCAAAGCGACAATTGTGGATTTCCCCCCGACACCAAAAACAAAGGCCAGGTGACCAAATAAGCATCCATGCAGATAGACATTTGATTTAAAACCATTTAAGTAATGATTTCGACTTGACCGTGTCAAGGGAGGTCTGCAGAGTATATTGCCGACTGAGCCACTAGCCGTTTCCGCGAGTAATGCGATTTTAACGCCTTTGCGATAAGATCTGCGTTCAGTTCACGTGTGTGCTGTGCGTGTGTGCGTTCACCGATGCGCGCACATACCGGGAGAAAGATAATGCAGTGACACTAGTAAGCCATCATTATGTGTTGCGCAAATGTAGCCAGATTGCGCGTTTATGGTCACGATTGTATTGGAAAATCAATTTCCAGGTCAGGAGGTCATCATGTACTCGCTCAGGTTCTCTTATAGTCAACCAAACTGGTTATAGTGGTATCGTGGTTAGTTCAAAGCAAATTTGTAAAATTCCTTGATCAATCAATTGTACGAATGTACTTTCTTAAAATCTAGATAAAGTCAACATTTCTTTATTTAATATAGGCTTAATTTAAGCTCTTATTGTACGTAAAGAAAAACTACCACTGGTTCATTAAACTCTAGTTCTCACCAGAGAAGAACCTTTTTTTTAATAAATCTTTTTTTTAATGATTGATTCTTTTAAAATCATTACTATTTTGGAGGAGACATGCACATTACGACAGACCACGAGTCATTTTTACACATCCTTGTTCTCAATATATTCATCGACATTATAATAGGTCCTTTCCACTAGCTTTAGGGTAGCTATTACAAAATGTTTGAAATTGTTTACACTTAGTTGTTTGTGGATGTCACCTATTTTATTATAAAAGTTACTACTACATCTACCAAAAAACGATTTTCTAGTTTAAGCCGGTCTAAACCTCTGTACTTCCAGAGTGTCCCCAAAGCGACGTGGTATGTTTTTTTTTTTGTAAAAAAAAGTGTATGTTATTACGTACATATACGATGCTCTCCAGTATGTACATCGACGGTAGCGTTAAAACGTTTATTTGCTTAAAAATATACCGTAGTGAATCACGTGGACCCGAGCCATAGACAGCCAGTGTAATTATAAAACCATTTCATCATCCATTACAAATCTTTAATCCGTTGAAACGTTGGGTATTAAAATAAACGCGATATATCCGTAATCACAATATGTAATCGCGTAAATAGGAGAAATTTTATGATAATTTCTTGCATTCATAAAAAAAAGTTTCCCTTCCAATTTGGAGTCTAAAAACATTAAAATTATATTGATGTCGGAAAGATAATGGTAAACATCCCGCGCACGAACTCAACTTTTCACATCCGATTATACTCACATTAAAATATTATTCAAACGGATACAGGCAGTTGGCCTCGGAATAAATTAGAGAAATATTTAATACGTAGCCTAGCTTACATTGAATAAGTTATTACTGCGATAGATTTTGGTAAACAATCGCTCTGATGCGATTATAATGTGGGCTGTACAATTTAGCCGATTGAACCGTCGAAAAAAGTCAGCTAAGTTCATTAGCTAACTACCCGACCAGCTTGGCTAATTTAACCTAACAGGTTAAATTAGCCAAGCCAATACCTGTTAACTAAATTCACTCGGCTACTAAGCCGACAGTTTAGCTAGTTAACTTATCTCAGCTTATTAGCCAAAAGTTACTTCGGCTTAATGCCTGACTTTTGAAATTATACTTCTTTTAGCGCGTTTAGAAAAATAATAATATGAGAGTATAATTTTTACGGCGCGCGCGCTCACCTGTATGGTTCAAAAACTACTATTACTATGGCAACCGATAACAACTTTTTGACATTTACTTAAAACCAAGTTTTTTAATTAAACCTTTATCAATTGGATTAAATGTTTTTTTTATTCACAAATAACTGGACTTTTTTTCACAAACATATTTTTTTTTGTTACGGTAAAGAAGTATAACTTCTTGCGTGCGTACATATTTAAATATTTTAGGACACATTTTTACACAACATTTTCCGGTCCCAAACTAAGCAAAGCTTGTACTATGGGTACTAGAAAACTAATAAATATACTTAAACATACTTTTCTTTTGTAAATAAATACATATTATACATATATAAACGCCCAGACACTAGAAAAACACCATGTTCATCACACAATATTTTCCAGTAGTGGGGATTGAACCTCTGGCGCAGGAGGCAGGTACACTACCCACAACGCCATTCGGGTCGTCAACTGTACATGAGTACTCGTACATGTGTACTTATGTACTTTATTTTTTTGGCATACAACAAATTTTAACACTGAATTTGCAAAAAAAGAATATTTCGGCGAATTGTACAGCCCTAATTATTATAATGCATTGCCTTGCTAAATGGTGATCAGTATGAATATGCTTTATCTACTTTTGAGGAGAAAAACAAGCGGCCTCTCTTCGTATTAATCCAAACGATGAAATGAGAACACATATTTTAAATCACCTTATACTATCTTTTCATAAACATTTTTTTTTACGTCAAAAAGAATCGACAAGTCGCAATTCGGGAAGCGGCTCGGTAGATTTGAGATGTCAATGCGTTCGCAGGCTATAGGCAGTGACCGCAACATACCGGACTGGGTGCTGAAGAACCGCGCCAGCCTGCTGACGTCCATGATCAAGGTCTACCACGGCGACCTGCGCACACTCGCCGCGCAAATGGAGGACCAGAAGAGGCTGGCTGAGAAGCTGTACCAGATCTTCGAAACCTACTTACCCGTGCTGCAGTACGGGTGTCACATATTCCAACGGGTGCCCATGCTCAGTCTCCCGAAGGTGAGGTCTAAACCGAACTTTATTTGGTGGCGTGCGCTGCCCATTCTTGCAACAGCCTCGGCTGTTACACGAATGGTCAGGTCCCTACTAATAGAATACCCGCGTAAAGGGGAAGTGTCATACTTGCGTTTCGTCTGGTAAGTGGGGTAGCCGGGACCCACTTTATTAAAAGTTGACAACCCATGTGGTGACTCCATGGACGGCGATAAACACTTAACATCAGGTGAACCGCCCGCCAGCCCGCTTGCGACATAATAAAAAAACCGTTTAAAGACTTTTAAGTTAAACGGTTTTATTTTGTTTATTTTTGTTAATTTTTTTTTAATATTGTATTGTCATCTAAATTAAATGTGTGTACCAAATTTCAGATCAATCTGACAACGGCAAGGTGCTTAAATTTCAATTTCTAATTTTGACCCAAACAAACAAATTCCGTACGGGTCGAGCTAAATAAAACCGTTTAAAAATGTGTGCTTCTTCCTTCTCCTGCTCTTATCCCATCCAGGTGGAGTGGGCACAAGTCGTGAGTCATGTTATTGTGGTTATGTCCAGGTTTTTTTACGACCGGCCGCCTGCCTGACGTCAACCCACCTTCAGAATGAACCAACGCCCAGATCTTCATTTTCATTATACTGTGTTTTGAGGAAAATTTACAAACAAACTTCACGTTGACAAACACCCAGGATGAAACAATTGTGAGCCACACTCATACTTGTTCCGTGTGAGAATCGAAATCACGACACTCGGCGCCGAAACAGATATCTCCACAATGCGCCACCGAGCCATCAAAAAAAATTATATTATGTTTCACGTGCAAATTCAAAGTATTCAAGTACGCGTGTATAAAATTGTTCACTCTTATTACAATGGCACTAATATATTGTTTCCTATAATTTTCTAGAAAAACGGGTAGTATTTGAATGTGCTACTGAAAGAAGCCATAGTGTATCGAAAATTATGATAATATTTACCTGGAAAACAATATCCCCTTATATTTGCGCATATTACGGACACTCCTTCAAAAATCTATTTGCTTTCCAACTTGATATTCTTGTTTCAATTCTGCCGGCAAAAACACGCGTTGACATGAAATCGCAGTCTTATTTGTTATACGCAATATTTACGAATATAAGGTAGCGACTTGAACGATAACACAGGTTCGCGAACAAACACTTCACTTTTATCGCGTTTTGCTTAGCGAGTGACTGTAATTTTCGCCTTCGAATATCTGTGGTAGAGCCACGCAACAGCCTTTCTGATGCACGAATGGGCAGAACCGTCCAGGGAAGTACCGCAACCTCACAAGACCAGCGGGAAGTGGAAACGTTATACTTCTGCGTTTCGTCTGGTGTGTGAGGTAGCCGCGGCTCACTTTATATAAATGTGGCAAAGCATCTGCAACCCTACGGCAAGTGCAAATGTCAATAGGCGGCGGTTATCACTTAACATCAGGTGAAACGCCAGCACGTTTGCCACTGTCACATAAAAAAAACGTGTTGACGAGTGGTAGTTGTGTTGAGGAGTGAATAGTTGAGAGTAGCGAGTGGCGGCAATCGAGCTGGCGGTTCTCCAGAGTCTAAGTGATAAAAGCCGCCCGTGGACATTTGCAACACCCGTAGGGTTGCAGATGCGTTGTCATTGATGAAGTATGCCCCTGTCAACTCACTCATAACACGAAACGCAGAAGTGTAACAGCTAAAACTGTTGCGTAGCCCTACAGTAAACCGTAATACACTCCTGGTTTATAATCGGGCGATATCTTGATGCAGAGTGCCAGTTCGGTGTACATGGAGTCGATGCAGATCCTGGAACATTGTCGCAAGAGTCAGGGCGTTCTCGGCGGAGTGATCCTCTACAACAACAAGTAAGCTGCCCCACATTTTTCTATTATAGATTACGTACAAGAGGAAAACTTCAGATTAATCAGGTCTTAGCAATGCAGATCTCGATTCTCGTAAAGAAGAATGTTTTTTCTATAGTGAGAAGTCCAATTGAATATGTCTTCACGTTAACTGTACTTGTATAACTCATCTCCTACAGTTATATCAGAAGTAGTAAAGATTTATCTCAACCAACTTTCCTTCTTCAAATATCGTTCAATATCTTCATGTAATCATGAAAATCATGAAATCGATATTCTAATTCTGTTACTATTCTACTATTCTAATAGCGTGCTACAACATTTGATTGTTGAAATGTGTAGATAAAACAGTTGTAAAATTTTTCTCCGCTGCTAGAATTTGAACATATTCGTTCCGCATTACGCGTCCAGACGCTTTAACCACTAAACTAATCGTTGGACATCCTCACTGAGCGAAGAACTCGACGTCTTAATCTCTTATCAACTTTACTAGTTTTAATTGCATTTTTTCAATTATTTTGAGCAGTTGCATCTACTCTGCTTCAAAGTGTGTAAGTAAAATTACTTTTGATAGAGTTTAAAAACACCTTGATCATAATTTTTCTAAAAAGTCTCTCAAACATTAAGTAGTATAGGGTTCCATCGCGGACAAACAACGTGACACGTAATTTATATTTACATTATACTATAGTGTTGTGAAACTGAACCTTCCCAAGGATCATCTCGACCCAGCTGCCGCCGAGTCTGACCTCGTACTTGACCGTCGTGGACCCCTACCGGATAAAATCGCCAGCGGAAACGCTAGAAACGGAGACGCCCCTGCCCCTGGGAGCGCAACTGCTCGTGGTCTACGTCAGCAGGAGGACCTATGAGACCCTGAAGAGGCAGGCGGACAAAATGCACGAGTTCTACGAGAACGGCGAAGAGATGATAGCCAAATTCAAGAAGGTAAGCCCATGATAGATACTCTACAGTAGATGGCTCAACTCGTCTGTGTGGGTGAATTGTATAAATAGATACAGTGACTGTGTGTGCGTGACAAGAGGTACAGTCAAGTGCAGTTGTTTCAACAAATTCAAAACAAAAATGATAGGTTTAAATTATTTTGTTTTTAAGGTCATTGTAAACTGCTTTGTTCGATAATATATGGATTCATATAAAGTGAATAATCAGAAGTGAGGATCGACCCCATACCTTCACTGGCGCAACAGGTCCACTACGCAAATCGGGTCGACGAAGTGAGAAAGAAGTTTTAGTAATATAACCTAAGCCCGGTTAATATACCTCCAATCCAATAAATATCCAAATTAATATAAAATGATACTAAATATCCACATTTTTACACAAGGTTCTCTAGTCCCAAACTAAGCAACGCTTGTACTGTGGGTACTAATAAACTGATATATATATATATATATATATATATATATATATATATATATATAATCATACTTAAACATACTTTTCTTTTGTAATTAAATACATAATAAACAAACAACCAGAAACTGGAAAAGCACTACGTTCATCACACAATATTTTTCCAGTAGTGGGGATGGAACCCACACCCTCTAGCGCAAGGGGCAGGTTCACTACCCACTACGCCAATCGATTCGTCAATATTTCTCAACGACGTGTAAAAACGCAAGCTTTCCCCTATTAACGCACCTCTTGGTCAGACGCAGGAGGCGGAGCGCGAGAGGCAGCGCGAGTTCCCGCAGGGCGGGCTCAAGAGGGACAAGTCGCTGCTGTTCACCGCCGTTCCCGAGGAGGACCACAGCATGATATCGCCGCCCAGCCGTGGGCGTGGGCAAGTGGGCGACACCAAGCCCACGATGCCCGACGTGGTGCCGTTCGCTAACAAGCCCCGCCCCAGGCCCGCGAAGCTCTCGCTGGGCTTAAAGCTGCAGCGGTCCGTCGACGAGGACGCCGCCGAGGAGAAGAGGTTCACGGGCCAGACGAGCGTCTGCTCCACTCCCATGGTGGAGTACAAGCGGCTGCACGGCAACATGCTCTCCATATGCCAGAACCCCGACGGGGCGGTGGAGCCCCCCGCGCCGGAGCCGGACGTGCTGAGAAACGTCGACGAGGAGCGCTCGGAGGCGGAGAAGCGCGACAGCCGCATGGTGATGAACATAAACTGCATCGCGGACCGCTTCGTCAACAAGCCGGAGCCGATGAGGAAGCTCGCCAGCGTCACGGACATCCAGGAGACGTTCAGGAGGCTCACCGGCAGGGCGGCGTCCAGGTTCAAGCTGAAGCGGACGCAGAACGACGAGGACTCCCCCTCGGAGGAGAGCAGGACGCCCAGCACTCTGACCATCAACGATCCATTGTTCCCCGTGTTCAGGAACGACGGCGTCGCGATATCGGAGTCGCTCTTCAACCAGTACCTGGAGCAGTACTACTCGAGGATCAGCCAGGACGCGAAGGACGAGCAGGTGTTCTTCGGCGCGAGGCGCACGGAGCCGGAGAAGTTCGACGGCTTCGACTCCGAGCTGACCAGATCCCCTCAGCGTACGCCGAAAAAGGTCGCGAAGGACTCTAAGAACCCACCCAGCGACCAGTCGAGACGGAAGGCGCTCTCGCTCCCCCTCAAATCGCTTACCGAGAGCTCCGACGGTCAGATAGACGCGGACGCAGCCAACTTTAAGAAGAAGCTGACCGGCGTCCAGTTAACCCCACTCATGGAGAAGCTCAGCCACCTCGCGTTCACTTCGGACAAGTCGAGCGGCTACAGCAGCAGGGTGATGACACCGCTGGAGATTAGGGATCTGATGACGCCGGCGGCGGAGCGCCAGGCTAACTTTGCCGATAGGTAACTATTGTTTTTTTATTATTTATTTTTCAACAGATGTTATGCAGAAGGAACATAGATATATTGTGATACCATTTGTCACGGGAGCTGGTGAGCTTCAGGTTTCATTAGAAAATCCGCGTGTCTTACTTTGGTTGCAAATATTTAATGTGAGGTGTTTAAAAAATTAACAATCATTTACTCGTACTGTTGTGTAAATTATTGTATACCCTTTTGTATTTGCCCTCTTCTTTCATATTCTTGTGAACACCGTTTCCATGTTTAAAATTATCTTTTGTCTCTACTAAGGCATTTTGATCTGGCATTGGAGCGGGTGAACAGAATGTACATCGTTATCTTTTTTCATATGGGATAATACGAGATACGTCCCGTGAGATTACAGAAGCGTTGCATTTATATGAATGGGCCCCATTTACGTCACTCGCTGGAGCAAATTGAACGTCGGCTCGCTTATGGGACAACAGAGATCGTCGCATCGCCCGACCGCAGTGGCAAATGTCAAATGACATTTCTTTTTTTTTTCTCTTCTTTCGCGAAGGGGCAAAGGTCGCCGCGAGGACTCGGAGACGGACAGCGAGGCGGAGTCTGAGACGGGGCGCGATCAGGAGCCCGGCTCCGCGTACGGCGAGCGTGCGGTCAAGTGCGCGCTCTTCGTGAGCGGGCTGCACAACATGGCGCTTATGGCGCTTCTCGAGCTGCCAGCCGCCCGCCAACCGGACACGGTGCACGCGCTGGTGAGGACCTGCTATTGTTTGAAGTGATATTACTTTTGGCGCGTTTGGGGGAAACGATGGGGGTGAATTTTTAACACCAAAAAGCAACGTCCACTGTATGGTGCTACCATTGCAACCGATAACTTTTAAACACTTTTACCTATAATTCCAAAGTCTTTTTGTCACAAACAAAGAGTGCTGGTACACGGAATAAGATTTTTATTATATATTAATTATCTTTCTTTTGTTACAAGAAAGAAGTGCAACTTTTTACATGCGTACATAAGTACACAGACACATTTTTTTGTACAAAGTTAGCAAGCTAGCAGTTACTTAATGTAGCTTAAGCTAATTGATGTATTAACTATCGCCGCCTAAGGACATTCGCAACACCTGGTAGATGTGCATACTTTACAAAAGTGGGCCTCGGTTAGCTCACTTACCGAACTATAAAGTATAGTACTTCCACTACACGCCGGTGAGAATGCTGCGTGCCCCTACTGAAAAGATCTTATTTCAGTTTCAGTAACAAATACAAAACTTAAATATTCTTGTTGACCGGGTGAAGTCACCTCTGCGTCCCAGGCATATTTGCCGCTGAGATGCGCTTGACATAATTCGTAGTTTGTCCGTCAATATATCTCCATACCTCACCAGATGAAACGCAGAAGTATAACACTTTTCTTTCACGCCGGTCAATCTATACGGTCGTGGTACTTCCCCGGATGAACTTTCCCATTCGTGCAACAGCGATGACTGTTGCGTGGCCCTATACATTATTTTTCTACACTAAGTAGTGGGGCTCCAATCGACAACCTCTGTCGCAAGCTACCCACTGCCGACTGCGCCAATCGAGTCACAATACTTACTGTAAACGGAAGAATCTCGACGTTCTCAATATATTCCAGTGGGAGACTTCGCTCAACGCGCTAGGTCCCATCGAGCAAAAGTGCATGGAGCCGCTGCCGGCCGATGCGGAGACCACGGACTACAGCTATTTGATGCTCGACCCCGACTGGGGCTCAGTGCGCAAGGGGGGGCCATGGGCAGCAATGGACATCGCCACGATGGGCCTTATTCACAACGAGTTCTCAGAGGACCCGGAGCTCTCAGAGTTCATATTAAGGTATGACAATTCACTCTTTATTGTAGTTTTGAGTGAGTGTCACGTCACGGTCTTACATACATACAGACAAATAATCTGATTTCCAATAGTAGGAAGTGACTGCACGATTCAGTTATGTATCAACATAATCTAGTTTTTTTTAATCCTAATTATAAATATAATATACTCGATGTCTGGATCGTTAAAAGTTATGGGTAAGGACTGTTGTGAATCTAACTATTTTCATCTACTAAACGACTAAAAATGCAACGAGTGAAATAAAAAAAACAGCTTTTTTGTGTTTACTATTGACATCCATTAAAACTTACACGCTGGATGGAACGTTGTCCCATATTTTTTTTTTTTTCAGTTTTATTGTTAACCTGTTCCTTCAACAACAATAATGCTCTAAAATCTAAATTAAAATGTATTATTTTGTTTCTTTTTTTAGCTGTATTAAAATGAAAATTCGTCAAAATGACTATTAAAACCATGTATAAGCCCTTTAAAGCCTATATAATACACCCTGTAAGGCCCATGTATTCACCCTGTAAAGCCCAACACACCCTTTAGAGCCTATATATACACCCTGTAGGGCCCATGTATACACCTTGTAAACCCTATGGTTACACCCGTCGTGGTCTGCAGGAGCGAGGAGAGCGCGGTGCTGGGCGCGTCGTGCGGGGGCGCGCAGCTGTACTACCAGGAGGGCGGTTCTCGGCCGGCTGGCCCCCCGCCGCCGTCGGACGCGCTCGCCACCGCGCCGCTGCGGGCGCGCCGCCGCCTCCACCGCGACCACTGCGCCCTCCTGCTCTAACGTGGCACCCGACGCCGCGTAAGACAAAGACGGACGTCTACTCCAAGCTCGTCTTTCTCTACAGGATTAAGGCCACCGCGACCACTGCACCCTCCTGCCCTAACATGGCACCCGACGCCGCATAAAACAAGGACCGACGTCTTCTGCAAATTCGTCTTTCTCTACAAGAATAAGGCCATCGCGACCACTACGCCCTCCCGCTCTAACCCAGCACCCGGTGCCGCGTAAGACAAAGACGGACGACTGCCTGCAATTTCGACTCTCTACGCGATTGAAACCACGATTTGCAGAACATCGGTACACAGACGGCCTGTAAATTCGATTCTCTCTTCTATATTCAGGCCACGGTTTGCAGAACATCCCGTCGTTTATCACCGCGTTTCGCCTTTCGTTTAACCGATGCTTTCGACCAGCTTGCTAGTCCATCGCCACGTACCTTTACTTGTCATTGGAATTTAAGATAACGAAATGCCAGAAACAGAGAAAAAAAAAAGACTATAACCAACGACAGCCTGTAAATTCTTCAATCCCTACTCGGTTTACAGAACATCCGAACGCCTCATCCATCGCGTTCCACTTAGCAATCGTGCGTTCATGTCGACCGGCGAGATGATCCATCACCGCCTAAGACGATGACCTTAACTTGTCATTGGCATTACGAATCGCCAGAATCATAGAAGAAAAAGGGCAATGACCAATGACAGCCTGTAAATTCGATTCTCTCTTACCAGATAAAGGCCGTTTATCATCGCGTACCATTTACCAATCGAAGCCGTGCAGATGTCGGCCGCAGAGATCGTGAATAACGAGCTTCTGTTTATAACAGAGTTGAACGTCTTAACAACGCATTGACCGTTGGACATACACAAAATATATATTAAATGATAATTAATAGTTTTCAGTATTCGGGCTATAGATGGACCCATTAGGTACGGCGCCAATTGTGAAACGAATAAAGAAGCCGATGCAATTTTAGTGCTGCGCTTATTTGTGAGTGTGTGTGCGATACCTCCAATTTCATGTAATTTCCAATTTATATTACCTTGGTCGTTTGACAAGTGTTTATATCAAGGTGGCAACTTTTTTCTACACCCGATCTAGTTTTTATCTTAGAATGTGCCTCGATCACGACGTTATTGGCATAGGCTTAAACATTAAACTGGGAAAGAGAAAGTGTGAAAAATAGTGTAAAAATAGGAGTTAATCGTGTAGTCTAAGATCAGGATTGGTCAACAAATTGATTAGGTATGTTGGAATTATTGGGTACAAATTTAAGGTATCCAACCATCGGATCATCAATATTTTAAGTAGAATTGTTTTAAAGGAATTAGTTAAAAGACTATAAGATAAGACATGCTCTAGAAACGAGTGCCTCAGTTTAGCTTAAATTTTGCTAAGTACCTCAAGCAACTTACTGATATCTTGATTTAACTTGTTTCCCTGTGAACATTCCATATGTATGCGAATTACAAACACGAACTGTGCCATTCAGATGCTGCCCCTCCATACAGATATTCCGTCAATAATCAGTACATTATAACTCTGCTTTTTATTTGGAAGACGCCTTTGAGTTCACTACAATAGTGGTAGGTAGATCTACAGTTTTTAGGTACCATTATGAATGTAGTTTTGTAACTTTTGGAGCTATATCTTAAACGTCTTTAGTGTAGGATCTTTCATAGATTGTAGTGTAGTTTTGATATAAAGTTGAAATTTGAAGACTCGTGTCGGAAGTGAAACCCTGTTTAAAAAGGCTGTTCTTTTTTTATAGTTTCATTTTAAAACAAGTTCCGTTTGTCAATGTTCAACTTTTGTTATAGTAGAGGAGCAAGTGTTATTTGGTATTAGAATTATTGAAATGTTGTTTTCTTGTTACGGTTTATTTTCAACCGACTACAAATAGGTTTTTTTTTTTTTTTTCGTTTATTACCTCCGTCAGTTATGAACCGATTTTCGAAATGCTTTTTACATTCTTCGATTTAGCTCCCATGTGAATAATATAATGTGGTCCCACCACATTATAATGATAATTAATATGAATTTCATTGATATTGGGCCTTGGAGTCCAGAGATACATCATGGAACTCAAAATTAAGTAGAAAATGTACAGCGAGTGATATATTTGAATTTCCTTTTATTTTTTATTACTAAAATGGTTTGGTTCATTTCCCCTTCCACCTGCAATAACTTTTGAATATTAATCCCAATATTAGAAAATAACTTTTGAATATTAATCCCAATATTAGAAACGTTAACGAAATATGTTCGTGAAATCCCGTTCCGTAATACAATACATGTTGTACTCGACATTTTATACGCTGCCGATCAAAAGTCTGAGACCGCCTTAATTAAAGTTGGATTGAAATAAATCTCAAGATTTCAAATTATTGTCATTTAAACTAAAAACAACATTATAAGCTTACAACATTTTGATTTTAAAACTGATGATATAAGTGTTGCATGCCTTCTAGATGGACAATTTTTTCAAATATTTCTGTCACGATCTTCCCATAAAATTTCAATCGGGTTAAGATCTGGACTTTGTGGTGGCCATATCACATTTTTCAAAGCGCCATTTGCCATCTTTTTTTATTCTTCAAAATAATCCTGCATATTACTTATAGTAATTAATTTTTACCCATAGCAGTTTGCACAAAATCATTTTATAATCTTCTTTTTTTTTCTAAATTCCTACAATATATCATGAATAAGCAGCATAAATATTGATCAGTGTAAACCACAAACAAACTACTGAATGATAATCAGGTCATCAACGTATAGTGTCTACCACCTGACTTTTAGATACTTTTAAAAAACATTTATGGTACCTATTTATAGAAATATAGAAAAAATGACCTTTTCCATTCCTTAACAATATTAAAGTTTGCAGGTGTGCATATTCGTTTTGTATTATCGGTAATTAATGAAAACTTTTTTTACAAGTGTCTGGCCGGCAGTGTATAAATCGCACATACCAAACGTTCTACAAAAACGTAGTTATATTTGATTAAATTCGCCTGAAACTCCTACGTACCGAGATTAAATTAGTCTGTAGTAATTGTTACAGGTTTTACACATATCTGCTTAATTAACCACATTAAAGGCATATTTATTTAACTTAAATGGATTTTCTTTTTATTGTTATCAGATTGTTCATCAGATTGTTATCAGATTGTTATCAGTTTCAGATTGTAATCACCTTTCATATATTTTATATGATACTCTAGCTCTAAAGCGTCACTTGCCATCCAGCTTTTAAAAAGCACTGCATTATTACCCGTCTTCAGACGCAACTTACGTTTAGAAATGATGTATTCTTTGCTAGTGCAACACAGCAAGAGTTTGGGCACTGCATTATCTACAGAGATGTTTACGTAGGAATTGTAATTTTTACGCTCACTGTATCTTGCCATTAGCTCGTAAGTATCCTGGCCACACTATAGTTTGATATCGCTAGTCTGCTCAATCTTGCCATCCGACTATTTATAGCGTAAAAACAAAGTTTTAAATTTATTTTTAGGTAGAACTTAGTCTTTAGGATTAACCCTCCAATCACGCCTCGTCTCGCTTGCTAAAGCGATATAATTACGGATTATTAATACTTACCTATTTTAAACTGCACCATACTGATGAGCAAGCAACATGATCTTCACCACACTGTTACATTTGAAATATTTTTTTATATGTCGTTATTGCTTATATTGTTTTTTATTTTTTGTTGTGACAATGTTTTTGTTATACTTAAGTTTCAGTTGTTTTAAAAAGTTAATTTAAATTGAGATTTGACAGACGTGCCGCCTCAAGATAAGTCGCCGACACTAGTTATTTAAGTATTATTAAACTATTTCTTAAAGACACTGCAATGGAATTAGTTTTATTATTCATGAATCACATTGTGCAATCATTAATTATAGTTTACTTTGTATGGTTTAAGGTCTGTTATTTCAGTATTAATTTGCATTTTCATGTATTAAAAACGATGTAACATTCCATTTATCGCAAATTAATTGATGTTGCAGCCAATGTTTTCGAATGCGTCCAAAGCAAATCAATATGCAATTTATATGCGAGTTTCATATTTTGTTTTGTATTGATATATTAACAGTCAGTTTTGTAAAAACCCTTACAATGTGGTACGTACCGTGTTAGAAAGGAGTGCCAATAGAACATGTAATGTGGTATCTATTTATAATAATTATTATACATAAATATTGTTAAGAATTTTAATAAAAACCCAATAGTGAGACTTCGTGTTTTTGTTCCGTGAACCCAACAAGAAATACTATACACACTACTTTATTACCTACAGGTTTAACTTTCCTGGAGTCAAGAAGAAATTTTCAATGTTCAGGATACAACTACTTACAAAAAATTAAATCCGAAAAAATAGATGTTTGTCAGTACTTCTTTAAAAATGTTCAATTTAAGATTTTCTTACTAATACAGCCATTTTGTTCATTTAACATTTAGGCTTTACTTCCGAAGCACATTATTATAACATGCAATCTTCAACTTATCTTTTCTAGCGATTGAGTACCTAGTAATAATTTACCTCATATCAGCGTTTCTATTATATAAAAAAGTACGTTGATCTAATACTACCGCTATCAAAACTAAACTTATAAACAAAATATAAATATGATGCTGATATATACACTGCTATTATACAGTAAAAACGATTTCAACCTAAAAATGTATCCATTTTTTATTTTTAACTTTACAAAATCATAAAATTCTAATAACACCAAACTCAAATATACCCAGGAAGGAAGAAATAGAAATTAATATTGAAGCAATCCCCATTTTAGGATCCAATTAGTTAATTAGCATCCCAATAATGTTTGGCAAGTAAAAGGACATTGGAATGGATGGGATAAGATAGTGAATGAAGATAGATCGAAACGACGTTACAAAACTATCATTTATTCAACAAGTCGCTCACAACACAAGTCTACACTAAAATTAATTACGATGTCACCAAATCTATATATCATATATATATAGAAAATACATACTATGTTATATATAGATAAAATGCATATGGATCACCGATAGAGAGATTGCAACTAAACGGGACGTTGGAACGCGTGTTTATGTTGTATAGTAACGCTAGCTATATATTTATGTCAAAATGTGTCTGATTACGCGCGACTTCTGTCTTGAGTCTTGAGCGAGCTTGCGGCTTCCCTATTAACCGGTAGGCATTGCGCAAAGGCAATGCCGGGACAGTTCGCAATACTTCGCTTCGGCACAGACTGTTCTCGGCGCCCATCGGCCGTCCCGGGAATTTCGGCAACCGCCATTTCAAAACGGACTCTCAAGAAACATTTTCGAAAACTTCAACACAGTTAGTTTTTCAAGGAACTTCATCCTTTACTTCTTGTTTCAATACCTTTTCAAACAAACAAAATCAATATTAGACTTAGTGTTAGAACTTTATTAGAATCTAACTTTACATTCTAAAGGCAACGGCGCCCTTACGAGGCGGTTGGTTACGTGCTAACTTATATCTAGACCCTTTTCGTATCACGTCTAATGTCGAACAGAAAACAAATGACTTCCATGCGTCCCGTAGGACAACGAAACGGTAATTGAGCCTTAAAATTAATACAAAGTTATTTAATCTGTACTAAATCTAAGTCCGGCCCCGAACAGGTACAGTATAAATGCATAATGGTGGCCAGTCGGACATTTTGGGGCGTGTTGTATCAAAATCTATGATGACCACAGCGTCACGCACTTAGTAATATCGACCTGGAAAGTCAAAGACTGGAGTAACCATAGTGTCACAAGTGACAACGGATGGCATAAAACAACTGCAATGAAAATTCTTATCAATCTACCAAATCAAAAGACATAAATTGCCATTAATTAAACATTGTCACATATCAATTGATTGATGATAGATTGATAGATGAAAGAATAAAACAAAAATATACTAAAAGAAAAGAATACCTATCTAATTACAAACAGATTGAACAATTTATAAACAATATCAGATTGCAGCAAATATTGAAATTAACACTAAAGTATAACTATTACTGTTACAGGGGAGCGGAGACTTCCATCACAACATCTTTGGCATGCATTCAAACAAAGCATGACCACCTATTCTTAACACTATTTATAAATTCATACACTATTGACGACAATTTAGGAACCTTACAAAATTTCAATTTAACTTAGACAAACTATGTCGTGTGATTATATTTGCCATTTGGTAACATTTCTGAAATACATACAAAAATGTGGTCACTTATACTATTACAATTTAAGGATAAATATATTCAAGGTGGAAATATTGTAAGGTAATATTTAATATATTGCTTCTAGAATAACTTTGTAGCCTATTTCAAAATGTTTTACAAAGATGTTGTTTTTATTAAACATTTACTCAGAGGTAGAGTTCTGATTAATAAGATAATGACAACCGTAGCAAATATGCATTATAAATAAATAATATTTGGATTTTCGTGAACATAACAGTAAGAGCAATATTATTGGTATGCAAGTATTTTGACATTTAATGGTTATTTTTATCTCGACCTTAACTGACCTTGTCTGCAATTATTGCAAATGACTGAAAATCGAGCTGTTAATGATTTTATTGCAAGGCTACAAATATTGACAGTATTTTATTAATTAATACACTATTCCCTTTCTAGCACATAAATTATTTTAAGAACAACTTTGTGTCAATTATAAAATACAATTTGGGATGAGCAAGAAATACTAGGAATAAATTTGAAATGTTAAAAGTGTAAGTAAATAACAATTCTACACAAAATACAATACTATATGAATCTGCAATTTACAATATTTTGCTAACAAATTAATTTATTCCAATTGCAAGTAATGCTTAGCTCATTACTAAAACTGAAAGGTGTTTTGTACTATGGTCAGTACAGTGTTTGCCATTAAATCATAAAAAACCTGTCAAACTCCAAAGACCTAGCACACAAACAGAACATATTAATTTCATCAGGCAACAGGATGGTATTAGCCTTGCATTTAGTTGTTCACGAGCTATGTTACCCTTTATACATGAGGATTTTAGGTGGATGGAGGTATTGGGTTAGCCTAAAGATTGTCCAAATGTGATTATGGAGGTCCGAACCTAATGAGAGTAGGAATCCTGAGGATAGGCTTTTCTTGTTGGTCATAAGGAAGGCCGGAGGCCGGGAGGAGATGGGGACGGTGCTTGTGGGTCGAAAGGAGGGCGTGGTGAGGCCTATGTGTCCTAGGGATGGTAGTAAGACTTACGAGGCGAGTAGGAGCGTTCGCGTTCGTAGCGGCGCGAGCGGCGGTAGTGCGGGGACGGAGAGCGGTGCCTGTAGCCGCGCTGGTAATAGTCGCGCTCGCGGTAGCCGCCGCCGCCGCCACCGCCGCCGCCGCCGCGGTAGTAGTACTCGCTAGAAAGTGCACGCAAAACAGTCAGTATGGAAACTATATGCCCCCTGGGGGAAAAAACATAGTTATGTGTGTATAGAGAGCAGAGTAACATTATTTTGGACATGGGTAAAAACTTATAAATGTAAAGAAAGTAAAGTCGGCCTGTAAATGTCCCGCTAATGATACCTCATCCGTACAGAGAGTATTCGGGCATAGTCCATCCCGCGACCCCATTAGCATTTAGACTTCTTATATCTTTTCTTTATAGATATCTTTGAAATATTATTTTATTTTTAAAATATAATAAATGCAGTTTCCTCACAATGTTTTCTTCACTGCTTCACTTTATCACATGATAATTCAGTGCATAAAATTAACAATTTCATTAGAATTATTAGCACAACAACTTGAACTTAAGTTGGTCAAGTATAGAATTTAAAAGCAAGTGCCCGGACAATAAGCTGTCATGGCTCTAATATACAGAAGAAAAAACTGCTGGTGATACAAATGCTTATCCTATTCGAGAATCCAACTGAGGACCCAAAGCACATAAGTCTATTGTTTTGTAAGTGCCGGAATGACTATTTATTTTTATAGAAACACCTCATTAAATACAAATTTACTTTGTATAGTAATTTTACTTGTCTCATATCTTTTTCAGTCAAACTTTGTTACAAAAATAAAAATTCATTGTTAAGGAACAGAGACAACTTTAATATTAATATAATCTTTCTCACCATTTTTATTAATCCTCAAGCAACAAAGCCCTATTTCGATATAATAGGGTTGCTTATAGGATTATTGGAACACTTATTTCACTGGTTGTATGTAACATTATAACAATATCAAGTCTTTACGATTTACATAAAAATGCACTTACTCTCTGTCCCTGCGCCTGTCGTAGCCATTATCGCCTCTACTGCTGACACTACTGAAAATAAAGCACAGTTTTAGTCTACTGAAGTAAGCGATTGTAAAATGAAGTATAACATAATACAATGTTTAAGTAGGCCTTTAGTATGTCAACCTAACTTAGACTTGACACACTCTAAATCTACTCAATATGCTCTGCCAACTCATAGGATACCTATTCTGTTTGATACTGAATAGATACTTCTTAAATTGGCAAAATACAACATTTAATGGAAGTGAGGCAACCAGCATAAAAAACGTTTAAATTTTCTGATTTATGTCCTGGATATGATGGCCCAGATTTCTGAACCAAACAAGTTCTAAGTAACAAAAAATAGTGTATTACTTCTTAAACCATACACAAATTTTAAAGTAAAACCTCATAACAAAACTGCAAAGTAAATAGAAGTAAAAAGAAAGTGAATGAAAGCAATTACGTGGGCTTCCCCATATATATGCCAGGGGTGGGCGTGTGCGCTCGCTGGGTGATGGAGAAGTCAACTCGTATACGCCTCCCGTCTATCTCCATGCCAGTGCATTCGTTCTTTGCCACTTTGGCGTCGTCTTGAGATGCGAAATAAACAAAACAGAAGCCTCTGGAGCGACCAGTCTGCGGAACAGTTATTGCATATATGGTATTTCATATGAGATAATTTATTCAATGTACTGTTAATCAATTTGATTATGTAGTTATTGAGATAATTAAACAATAAATTTGTTGTACTTGAAATATCTGACTTGTATTATATTTTCAGGTAAATAACATGTGTTACTCATAGAAAAGAGAAATCAGTTGCAAAAAAACATTTATGATCCCTTAACTAGAATAGTTGCTAACTAATGGCTTTGGCAGTGTGAGTAGTAGATTTGATTTCCACCCAGGGCAGATTTTCGTATAAAGTAATTTGAGTACTAATACAACATTATTCCATAAGTTATATACGTTATAAATGAAATCTGAATAACTACAAATGAAAAATCTTTCCATTTTTTAATGCATCAAAAGCTATAAATTAAATGGATCCACTGAGTCGTCAAATAAAGAAATATTGTTGAATGAAACCAATTATTCAAACTCATTTATAAGAGCACATCACTAAAAAATTAGCATTAATAATAAAGTAACTAACTGCCTATACATTTCACATCCTTCTGTTGAGCAAAGATCTCCTGCCCCACTATTATTACCATACAAATTGTTTTCTGTTATTAAAAAAAAGAATATTATTTGTTTCTTACCTTTGCATCTATTACAACTTGCACTTTCTCAACTGGTCCAAATTTAGAAAAGATGTGATTTATCTGTTGTTCAGTTGTGTACAGACTCAAACCAAATACTCCAAGGCAACGGGATGGAGTTGGATTTTCCTGTTTGACAATGAGCAAGCTCGCATATTTTAATTGTTCTACCGTTACAATAAACTGGGTGAAATGTAATGCAATTGAGAATTAAACATTGATGACTAATAAGTAATTACCTTATTGAAATATTCATGCATATGTATTGGCTTAATATTAATAATAAGGCTTAATAACATTTTTCTAATGTAAGCTATAAAATCATAGGTATGGCAAATCTACACAAAGATAATATATTAAATAAAAAAAAAATAAAATGTAGTCTGGTCCAACAGAACATTCTTATTTTTCATAAAGTGAGGATATTCCATACTATACAGTTTAATGTATTGAGACCCCTGCGATCGAAAAATTCATATCAAACTATGGGATTGTGAGGGTGATGAGTGCTACTGTTTCATGTAATAGATTCGCCACCGCACTATATTCATTCTGCACATAGCACCATTGAGTTAGCAGTCAACATCAACCCTCACATCACTATAGACTAAGTGTATAAAAATAGTACAAAAACAAGCATCCTCACCCTATCTCCAATGTCACCACTCACCCTGTCTCCAAGATGACGCCGCCTGGAGGACATAGGACTGTGCGAGTGCGAGCGGCGATAGGAGCCGCCGCGCGGCGAGTAAGAGCGAGAACGGCTGCGCGAGTATCGCGAGCGGTAACCACGCCTCGGCGATCCCGACCGAGAGCGCGACCTGGAGTACGACCTAGCGTCAGCAGCGACGGGCACACTTAGGTTATCATGCATATCACTATGTTAGTAGCGGGTCATGGGGTGCAATGCAGCAGCAGTTCCGATTTGGACGGGACAGCACAGTGTCGATAGAGAAACAACACTACAAATATGACAAATGAAGGATTTTGCCGAAGACAATCCTAATAAAACAATGTATAAACAGGAACAGTTCACAGGAATTGCAAAAAAAATATAAGATGGAGGAATTTTCTTTTAAATAGGTATTTTTTATAGACCATTGATTGATATATGAACAAAGACAAGCAAATGGTGGAGTTTTTTGTTGTACACACCCTACAACAAAAAATGCATAAAAATTGATGAAATGTAGTCGCCTACCAGAGTATTTAAGTAAATTTGGCTTTATATTGATGGAAACAAAAAAATTTCAATAATTCTCAAAATATAAACTCTGAAAAGCATTTTACTCAAAAATATTTTGATCAGCAGTATTGGAAATTCTACATATTTCCTTTAATATCATATAATAAGACCTAAGCCTCAGTGATTTTTTTTAAGTTCAAGTATCATCATGGTGATAAAAAAAATCTTAACATTGTTAGTTTTGGATATTAAAAAAGTTTAAGCATCTTGAATTCATAAATATCTTATTATTTAATGAGAAAATATAATATCTTCAATGTTTAATAAGAAAAAATGTAGTCATCCTTAATTTTACACTAAACAATGACTTAATCTTGCAGGCCAATTATTATATTACAAGAAGCATACAAACATCAACAAATGCATATTTCAAATTGTGAGAAAGCACAAATCCTTATCTCTAAAATTGAGAATCATAAATGTCACTCGACCATAAAAAAAAATTATTTGCCTCTTATCAGACATAAACATTTGATTCTGCTTCTTAAAATATTCACATAAATAAAGAATATTACAATAATAACTTGGCAATATAATAATAGTACAAAATATTACCAACATATTAGATTTAGCTTGTCTAAGTACAATTTTTAATTGACCTTGTCTAGCACATAACCTTGTATATGCCTCGCCTCACAAATTTGTTTTAAATTCAAGGCAAATGTATAATATTATGTAATTAGCATACAACTTAACATGCTATTTTCCCAGCATTGCTCCTTATCTATCAAAATAATATGATACAATATTGTAGTTAGTTTTTTTTTTACATTACGACTATATCAGGGTTATGTTCAAGACAGTAACAGTAAATAGCAAAAAAACCATGCAGTCTAAAATTTAGCGTGATTTTGCACAAATAGAGGACGTTGTAGTAATAAAAACCCATGCCATTGCGCAATTGTCGTTCCGTGATTGGCGAGGTTAGATTATACAAATCTAACGGGAAATACAAACTTCATATCTCAAACTAACTTAGATTTGCACGGAAAGTCAAATTATATCGACTATGAAGAACTTTTCAGTTTTTACTTACGGGCTCCTATACTTCCTGCTCGATGCTTTTGGCGGAGGCGGTGTCCTAGACCGGCTTCGACTATGTCCCCTTGACATTGTTGGAGGCTTCGGTGCAGGCTCACGCGATCCGTTGCGGGTTCTAGAGCGACTTCTCTGTAATATAATCAACCGGGATAAGTTAAATTGAGCCCGGCAAAATACGCGCACGAGGCGTTAATGGTAATGACGATTGAGATTAAATATAGTACCTCTCGATCCGACATGATGATGCCAGCAAAGAAACCAAAAAGAAGTAGGAAGATATATCGTAATCAATCTAATTATAAATTTATCTTCTATCACTAAAATAAAGTAAGGAATATCAGAACAACGCGGTAGTAGCAATGAGAAACAAAATGGCGTCAACAAGATAACGCTTCGCAAGCGCGGCAAAATTGAACAAACAAAAACGAACGAGAACGAAACGAATTTTTTGAATAGGGTTGCCATCAATCAAATATCAAATGTCAGCTTTCTTCCACAAGACGATCGGAAGCCCGATTTCAGTCGAACCCAGCGAATAAAAGTTTTAAGCATTTACTGCATAAAGTCTTAAGATTTGCTTAAGCTTTCTGGTTCCGACTTTTTTATATTATGAGTGAATTTTGGTTTCAATCGGCCGATTGAGCGTCTACTCATTTTTACAATCCCAAACAATGAATTTTGGGATAGGAAAAATGAGTAGGTTTCTGTTACTTTTAACTATGCCGGACGTAATTTAATAGAAGTGGGCGATACAAATCGTATCAGATATGAAAACTAGATATTAGTACAATATCCGAATATCGCTTACTGTCTCGTTCAATATTGTATTTTACAATATCTGATATTTCCGAAATCTGATGTACCGTGCTCGCTCGCTATACCGACACGAATCGCGATATCATACGCGTTTGCCACAATATCTGATTTTTAAACAGATTTCGAGAGACAAAGCTCGTGAGATACAAATACTCACTAGTTAGAGCGCAAGCAATGCACGATATCAGATATCGAGCGACAAAGCGCGTGAGATATAAATACTTACTAGTTAGAGTGGGACGGCAAGCAATGCACGATATCAGATATCGAGCGACAAAGCGCGTGAGATATAAACACTTACTAGTTAGAGTGGGACGGCAAGCAATGCACGATATCAGATATCGAGCGACAAAGCGCGTGAGATATAAATACTTACTAGTTAGAGTGGGACGGCAAGCAATGCACGATATCAGATATCGAGCGACAAAGCGCGTGAGATATAAACACTTACTAGTTAGAGTGGGACGGCAAGCAATGCACGATATCAGATATCGAGCGACAAAGCGCGTGAGATATAAATACTTACTAGTTAGAGTGGGACGGCAAGCAATGCACGATATCAGATATCGAGCGACAAAGCGCGTGAGATATAAATACTTACTAGTTAGAGTGGGACGGCAAGCAATGCACGATATCAGATATCGAGCGACAAAGCGCGTGAGATATAAACACTTACTAGTTAGAGTGGGACGGCAAGCAATGCACGATATCAGATTTTTAAACAGATATTATGAATAAGTTAAGTAATTTGAATCTTAACACCATGCAAATAAGATCCGTTTCATTTAAATACTAATCTTGGTATCAGCGATTACTACAACGATATTATTATATTTTTATTGTTTTGTTTAGCCTTGAGCCGTAACGGGCGACAAAGCGCGCAGTTAAGTAATTTTGAATCTTAACAGCATGGAAATAAACTCTGTTGCATTTAAATACGAATTACGGTATTAACGATGTCTTTGAAATTTTGTTCAGCCTTGAGCTGGATTGCATTGGTACTTAACACGTAATAGTAAGGAATGCCAACTTACTACTTAAGAATTTTCTGCCTAAATTAAGGAAGAAAAATATACAATGGAAATTTTCTAGGAGGTAAATTTTTTGTGAATATTTTTATTAGCTAAATTTTATTCATATTTATGGAAAAAAATAAAAGTACACAAAAAGAAAAATATAATTTAATAGTGCTTTGCTGCTTTGGTGGAAATCAGACCAAGGCTTATGCGCCTTGTGTGTATATTTTAAATTCTTCCGCCCTAAGCTATAATACTGAATGTATTATTTCTTACACAAATAATAAAAATATTGCCACTCGATTGCGTGTTCTAAAAATATGTTAAAGTCAATTATTAAGCGGTATATAAGATGTTAAAATAAATCATTTTTATATTACTTCAATTTATATTTTTAATGAAATTTTTAATTTAATAATTTAAAAAAACGCATTTTTAGTAAGACAGGGTTAATTATTAATGATCGTCGAACAAGACTTTCGACGAATAAAGTCAGAGAGCTTACGTTCCTAAACGTGAATTTGAACCCGGAGGGATCTAAATAATTATTAACCCTGACATAATTGTAAATATATAATGTTAAGTTTTAAATATAAGGAAAATTATGTACATAGAATGAATCAACTTTTAAATACGCCTGCACAATTTTATATTTATAATAAGTATGAAATATTGCAGCCAGTCCTAAGCCTGGAAAAAGTATGAAGGGAAGTTATTTCATTCATCTTATATCCACTCCCTTAAAGTATACAATTTTTTTTTTTTTTAGAATTCAAATAATGAACGTGGATAGGGAACCGTAAAATATCTAGATATTAAAATACATAGTTTCGAAATCTGATATTTGAAATCGATATCGGATTCAGATACGGTACTCAGAAAAAGCGATACGACCCATCCCTATAATTTAAGTAGTTTGGTGCATTCCTGTGTTGCTAAGCCTACTGTTCCATACAGTGTTTTTCAGATAGTGAGATATCTTAAGAAAATTACGAAGGCTACGGCCGGAGGATGCAAAAAAATGCAAATTTAAATTTAAAAATACTTATTTATTACATAAAAATTACAAGCTAACTACTTCTAAGTGAGGTGACGGTTGCTCGAAGTGTGAGACAAGAGTGACGCTCGCTGCGATGCTTCGGACGGTCCCGGTGTCCAACACCTGTGTTGCGCAACCACTTCGTATCCGTGGGATTACGGGCGACGGCACGTAGCACGGAATAAGCAATCCCTTGAGAATGGAATGTGGAATGTTGTAGCTGGGTGGTTGCAGTGTAGGCGATTTCCGGGATGTATAATCGTGTAACATCTCCCCCCGTAGATCAGCGACTAATCGAGAATCTTTTTCGAGAGGGTTGCTGAAATATTCTTATGATCAACCCTTATTTCACTAGGGTTGATTCGCCTTGGCGCTGGGGTCGCTTCTAATATTTCTGGTACGTCATTGGCGGCTTCCGTTGCTCTATTTTCTTTTTGTAGGTGTCTTGCTCGGAGTCGGCGATACAGAATGCAGCACTTAGTGATGCTGCACTCAACAGAATCAGGTAAATTGGAATAGCTTCGAGTGCTATTTTGGTGCTTAGCGCATGAAGATCTTTCAAATTCGGCATGTTCAAGGTAATCGGTGCACGCTGTACATGTCTCGATTCATTATATTGGGGTATTTCCATGACTCTCACTACATGGCCCTGGATTTGGTCGTTAGTATTGGAAATGGTTATTTGAGGCGTTTTCAAATTGCAGTTTAGTGGGATGACAGCTAGGTAGCTTCCTTTTAGCGTCCGGTACTGTTCTTGTCCGCAAGTAACTTTTACTTTTGTTTGAGTAGGAAAGTTAAGCGTGTAGTGCTTATCGTCTAGTGCTTCAAAAGCTTCGCTCTCCAAAGCGACTTGAGTCAGCTTACAGGGTTCTTGGAGTTGCTGATTGGTGATTAGATGTTGAACGCAGTCAGGTTTATCTTGAACACTGTATTGAGGCTTCGATTCGCAGAGATACCAAGCATTTATTTTCTCACATTCTGTCTCTATGTACCTAGAGTCTGTGCCAGAGATTGCTATAAAAGGTGAGGAGGGGATAAGGACCTCGTGATTTCTGTTAGGAACGATAGCTAATTTATAGAGGTCATAGGTTACAGGGATAATAATCGGGACCTTTATAACTATCACTACTTGCTTAGCTAAGAAAAAGTAACCTAACTTAATTATTTCATAAAAATTTCTATAGTCTATTTCAAAGATCTCATCCTTTGAATATAAAATTTTTAACTTATTTATAATATTTTTAATTTGATCTAAACTAACTAACGAATATGGGGTGCTCGATGCACGAATAAACGATAAAGTATTCTCTAGATTTGTTAATTCCTCAGATAAGTTCTCAATGTTATCTCCTAAAATAAGAAAATGCTGTGCTAAGTGGGCGTATTTTATTAAATCTGTTTCTCTATCAGTGTCGCTTTCCATAATTAATCTTAATGTTTTGCCTATTTTTTCCTGGTTTGATACTATACTATCTATCAGTTTTGAACTACGCGAGTTCCAATCTTTATTTAGACTTACATGTTTGTTAAATTCGGTTTCTAATTTTTGTTCGTTATCCTGTAAGATCTGGATCGCATTTTCATATTTAATTGCGTCTGTATAGTCTAAGTTACCGGAAATACTTTTGATTATTGACCCTAGACCGTCAATGAGTCCTCTTTTATTGCGACTTGATTCGAAAGTATTTAACTGATTTGAAATCCTCTCGAGCTTGTTAGCGAGATGTTCAAGGTGAGGATCGAAAAGGGATAAGGTCTTGTTACTTAACAGTGGCCTTAGTTCAATTATTTGGTGTTGGACGGATTCAACCTGTGAGTGAATAACGTTTAAGTCTATATAGTTGAGAAAAGAATGGTAATGAGTCGCTATTTTTGTTGCACCCAATTTAAAGGGTAGTAATCCAGGTCCGTTGTCAATTGAGTCAATCGTTACATCTTGTCCGTGGGTCAGTTGCAGTAGAAACGTCAGCAGTATTGTCCTGTAACAAGGTGGGATTCTTAGGGCTTCGCTTAAGGCGTGACTTAGCAATTGGGCCGCGTTTCTTTTTAGTGTAGATGTGGATAGGAAGATCAGCAAGGACGGTATCCTGTGTATATCGCGGGGCTAGTTTTTGTCGAGATGCTAGGGGGTTCCGTATGAATACCTGTTGGTCTGGGACATAGTCTTTTTCGGGTTACCTATCTTTGTTTCGATTTTCAGTCAGTAAAGTCCTGTCATGTAAAGAAGTCTCATTAATAAGGTCAAATACTTGTTTCATTCGTTGTCTGTGGTCACGTAAGTACTGTTGTAGTAAGTGTTCGGATATATTTATATCTATCGGGTCACGTGGGTCAAAGTGTCCGGTTATTAAGTCTAGAGGTCTGCATTTCGTAAAACTATGAATAGAGCTGTTATATGCTAGCACTGCGTAAGGCATTAAATTGACCACTGGCTCATTTCGTTTTTCAATTTTTAATATCCTTAGATGTTCAAGGATTGTCGAGTGGAATCGTTCTACTATTCCATTTTCATTGGGTGAATTAGCTAGGGTTTTATGGTGTTGGATCTTGTGTAGTCGGGTAAATTCAACGAATATTTGGTTGGTAAATTCGGGGCCTTGATCGGTGACTAAAGTAATTGGAACTCCATGGTGAGTACAGAATATCAAAAGAGCTTGAACAACGCTAAGAGCCGTACCGTCCCTAAGATGATACGCTTGGACATACTTAGAGAAAGCATCTACTATTGTAAGGTATTTCTCATTCTCTGTGTGAAAAGGTCAAGGTGAACTATTTCAAATGGTTTTGACGGGGGTGGCACGATTAGAAATCTTTGTTTTATAGGATTTCGATCGTATTTCGCTTGGCCGCAAACACTACATTCGTTTATGTATTTTGTAATACATTCTCTCATTTTCGTCCAATAGTACTTGGAAGATAGAGCTAAATAGCATTCGGTAATACCGCGGTGGTTCGTTTTTCCTTCGTGGTATTTTTGTATAATCTCCTGCTGGCGTAAATATTCCTGAACGTCTTCTAGCTCGATCTTAGTTAGGACAAGATTCATTGAGGAGCTTTTGAAGTTGTCTTGTATTATTGGTATTATTTGATACATGGCTAGAGGGGGGGTGAATTATTATTCCCGTCTTAACCTTGGGATTTATGAACTCTTTTACAGCGTTGATGACGTCATTAACAAGGTTTGATTCACTAAGTTGAATGGTTACTTTTGTATGAGTTTCAAAGGACTTTGTCACTGTTGGTCGTTTTTTGATGTCACCTACTAGCATAAAACAAATCTGTCTACTGAACTTATTAATTGGTTCATCTGAGATGGGAATTTCTAAAATTGGATTTTCGGCGCTTGTGTGGGCTGACAAGGTAGTGCTCGAGTGGGCTGACAAGGTAGAGCTCGTATTGGATGTAGGCCTTTCAGATGGATTGACGGCAATGGAGCTAATATCTTCGTTGTTAATTTCTATGCGGGATAAAGCGTCAGCGTTGGTGTTATTTTTGCCTTGCTTATATACAGTGGTAAAATTATACTCGCTAAGTTTAAGCCTCCAACGTGTAAGTCTTGAGCCTGGCTCTTTCAAGTTATAGTATTAGTAACAAGAACACTAATATTTTATTGTTCGTTTATGTCATAATCCACGTATTTCATTATGAAACTTTTATTTCCACAAATTCATTATTTCCGCGAATTGATTTATTCATGAATCTTGTGTTCTCGCAAATGACTAAATATCGTTAATTAATAAGTTCCACAATCGACCTACTTGTAAACAGAAGTAGCACTTGTAGCAGAGATGCAGCTAAGCGTACTGAGAGCGCGGCTAACACAATACCGACACTCCTCTTCCCCCACGACTCCTCCTCGATAGTAGCTAGAGTAGCTCTACCTCTACCACCCGCAATCTGTCCCCTGCACTCTCCAGCCCAATGAATAATGAGCGGCTCAATGAGCCCACTCAGAGCTCAGAGCGGCCCTCTCGGGCCAGTCTTACGCCACAGGCCTTACGACCAAGCCAAGACTACTAGGGCCCTCCGCCACAGCAAGGCGGGAACCCGGCGATCGCTATCATTATGTATTTACGAGTTTTATACATGCGGAACGTTCTTTTTTTGTTTTTTCTAATTAAAAGTAGATATCTTTTTATAAATACTGTACATAGGTAGGCATTGAAAGAAGTAACGAACGTAACACATGTATACGTCAATCTGACATATAAATCAATGCTAAAATGTCATTGTCAGTCACTTTTCCGTTTTCACCACATCGTTTCATTTAGATGATTTATTAAGTTTTAACGAAATCAAAAAAAATCTAAAGCCATGACTGATAACGAATTGCAGAACGATCTTGGAGACCAGCCGCAAGAGAAGACAGCGAAACAGTTAGAGAAGGAAGCTAAAAAGGCTGCCAAATTAGAGAAATTAAAAGCCAAGTTGGACAAGAAAAGCTCTGCACCAGCTGTGCAGAAAGTGCAGAAAGATAAGCCCGAGGTATTAATTGCAATAATTTAATATTAACCCCGTTAAATTATAAATAATGTCCCTTTTCTATAAACAGGTTGATTTTAACACTGAATTATTATTTTTATGGTTGTTATAAAATTCTCTCTCGTGAAATTATTCGTATGTGTTTTGTATACAAAGTTGCGTCACTTCTATTTAAAATAAAATTCAAAAAACTGGTATATTTTTAAAATAATGCCTTTCTTTGCTACAATATTCTACTATTCAATAACTCAATCTTCTATGTAACACTTAATTTGGATTTTAAATATTCTGCCAAAACACTAAATTGCTGTATTGTGCATTTTCAGAAAAAATTAAAAGAAGCAAAGGAAAGTGCAGTATATTCTGGTAATACAACTCCAGGAGATAAGAAAGATATTGCTGGGCCTATGCCGGATGCTTATAGTCCACAATATGTAGAGGCAGCCTGGTATGCATGGTGGGAAAAACAGGGATTCTTCAAACCAGAATATGGTGTAAGCATTATTTCAAAACTTTTATTTCCTTATCTCATTATATATAAAATAAACTTGTTTTTCAAGGTTTGAACGATAATATAATAAGGTAGTTCTATTCCAGTGTTTTATACAAACAGTATTTAATAAATTTTAATATTACAGAGAAAGTCCATATTGGACCCAAACCCTAAGGGTAAGTTTGTAATGGTGATTCCACCTCCAAATGTCACTGGCACTCTTCATCTCGGTCATGCTCTCACTAATGCTGTTGAAGATGCCATTACTAGGTGGCACAGGTGAGTGTCATTACAGAATTCTCTTAATGTGACCAGTGTCCCAAATTCAATTCCTCTTTTCGATTCTTCCGGTCCATGTTAACAAACAAGAGAATGATGAACTCCTTGCTCTCCCAAAGTTTTATGAAACATGTTAAATTTTACTTATATAAATTTAAAACCAATTAGTTTTTTAACATTCACTTATCATAGGAACAAACAAGGACTTGAAAAATCTTGAACATCCCCTTATTACATTTATTGAAAACTTTACATTTATCATTTAACAATCAAACTATTGATAAAAGGATACCATTAGTTCATAAATGATATTCACCCTTGGCAAATATTATGAAAAATATCTTTCTTATTATAACATTATATCTTCTTATTTTTTTAAAACATTCTGGATGTTAATATAACTGTGATTCTGATACTATTCTATATATGATAATATTTTGACATTATTTTAAATGTTCTCTCTAATAGGATGAATGGCCGTACAACATTATGGAACCCTGGCTGTGACCATGCAGGTATTGCAACTCAAGTGGTGGTGGAGAAGAAAGTTTGGAGAGAAGAGAAGAAAACCAGACATGACCTTGGTAGAGAGGAGTTTATAAAACGTGTTTGGGATTGGAAAAATGAGTAGGTTTCTGTTACTCTGTGGACCATAATTACTAAAAAGAGAATCATACATTTCTTTTGAATTATGAGAACTAAACAATTTACGTGCTATTATTCATTTTCGAACATTTTTTTCTTATGTTAAAATATGTTTAGTGAGCATGCGGTTATTCCAAATGTAGTTAAAATTCTGAACACATGATATTTTTTAAAAATGAAACTTAATGAATTACTTTTGCTTTCTCCTACCCAATAGAAAAGGCGACCGCATCTATTCGCAGCTGCGCTCTCTTGGCTCTTCCTTTGATTGGTCTCGGGTTCGGTTCACGATGGACCCCTCAATGTGTCGGGCTGTAAACGAAGCTTTTATTCGTCTGCACGACTCGGGAGACATCTACCGCGCCAATCGCTTGGTGAACTGGTCATGCGCGCTTAAAAGCGCCATTTCAGACATAGAGGTGGATAAGGTCGAGCTGAGTGGGAGAACTATGCTGTCCATTCCAGGTTACGAGCAAAAGGTTGGTGAATATGGTTCAGCAACTCCATGAGATCTAATCACTAATTGCCTCCTAATTCTAATTTGAACATGGCAGTATTCAAAATTCTTCATGTTTGACATTATCAAGGCGATAGTGAAAAGTTTCTTACTGAAAAGCTTGCATATCATCTAAGACAACATTTGATCACGAATTAATAGACGCCAATCGTTGACGACTCTGTGGCGCAGTGGTTATAGACTTCGGCGTCAGGGGTCGTGGGTTCCATTCCCACACAATCGAACTATTTATGTGACCGCAGATAGTTGTTTCAGATCTGTTTATTTGTCCGTGTGAAATTTATGCATCCTTACAACAAAGTGTAATGCTATCCTAAAGTAAAGAGGCAATGTTTTCGAAGAGAAAACCACAATAGGTCTTTTTCAGTTGCAGTTCTTTCTACATTTTTCTAGGTCTTGGGATTTGCTACCGAACACTTTCCACTAAAAATAAAAATTGTTGGAAGAAATGCTGCAACCAAATTTAAAATAACTGAAAAAAATGTAATAAATACAAATTCTTTCATAATAAAAACAATAGAAGATTCTATTCATACTGATTTACGTATGTTATAAGTTCAGCAGTGGACTAAAATAAGCTGAAATGATTATTTTTATTAATGACCTTGTAATAATTGAACTTTTTTATCCATTAAACTTAAACTGGTCTTTTGAAATATGAATAGTTTGAATTTTTTATCTATTGGTGATACACCTTTACCCTGCAGTTGCACTGACTATTCACATAGCCTCACTATTTTCTTAATGCGAACAAACAATATTAAGATTAATCAAAGCAGTAAACTATGATTATATGAACCAGTGATATAATATGAGTCTGGTAGGCTATTAACACCCACTATACATACGATTATTTGTTGCAGGTGGAGTTTGGTGTGCTGGTACTTTTTGCTTACAAAGCTGAAGACACTGGGGAGGAAGTGGTCGTGGCCACCACTCGTGTGGAGACCATGCTTGGTGATGTGGCAGTCGCTGTGCATCCACAAGATGTCAGGTCGGTACAATCGCCCGCATAATTGCAGACAGACTTTTAATATTCTTTGCTGGTTCTTCTCTGACAGGTCTAGATTAGTGAACCAGTGGTAGTTTTTGAGGTTCAATAAGAGCCTAAAATAAGCCTATGTTGAATAAAGAAATTTTGACTCAAAAATATGTCTGTCTTTTTTTCGATACTGGTGTAAATCGAAATAAGTATTATATTTACGTGTTTTGGTTGATTTGGGTTTATGCTCAAGCATTGCTCTAAAATTCCTTTATATAAATGTTCATAATGCTTTTTTTTTATAACATAGGAATAACAGAATAGGTCATAGAATACATTTCAATCTATACTATGTTTGTTAAATGAATGGTAAGGTTTTTCAAACCAAAATGTTCAATCAACAATATAAACTTAATTTGTACAATTATAAGATTCAACAAAATAGAAAAGTATTGAGTGTTAACAGTTTAAGTAAGTAAGCTTTTATTTTAATTTAATTTTCGTGTAGAATAATTCGAAATTATATTGTAGTTTTAGTAATAGTAGTTTTTTTGATTCTGATCAACGAAATTGGAATATGTCAATACATTTAATATTGCAAATGCCTGGGAAGTCGATGGATGCGGGTGGCTCAGGATGGTACTTTGTGGCAGTCTATGGGGGAGGCCTATGTTCAGCAGTGGACTCAAACAGGCTGAAATGATGAAATGATTGGAATATCCTTTTCCTTAAATTTGGGTGTAGCCTATACAGGAATGTAACCTACACAAAATGGAATTGTATTGTTTAAACCCCTTTTTTATATAAAACACATTTATATAAGTGCATTTCCAACAGATATAAGCATTTGCTGGGGAAGTATTTAGTGCATCCGATACTCAAAAGAAAGCTGCCTGTCATCGCAGACGATTACGTCGATATGAACTTCGGAACAGGTGATGTTTGTTCACCGTTTTTTTGATGAAACATTTGTTGTTGAAATTACTATTGTTGAACAACAACAAATGTTGAAATTACTGATAAAACTTATTACTATGATATTAATTGGAATACTTAAAAATATAAACGAAACAGTTGACACGATTAAAATTGGCTTTTGTCCGAAATAGGCGCCGTCAAAATAACACCCGCCCACGATCCCAACGACTACGAGATAGGGAAACGGCACGGGCTCCCCTGCCTAACCATTTTCGACGACGAGGGCGTGATGCTTCACAACTGCGGCCCCTTCGCCGTGAGTGAACACTTTCTTGACGTTTTTTATAAACATGAAACACATATAATCACAGGAAATTCTGCCGCGCTCTATTGGGAATGTCGAGCTTTCTAGAAAGTTTTTCGCCTTTCCCTTCTAAGTAAACGCCAAGAATCCCGAAAAAGCACATACAACTTTTGTCATTTCATATGGATTATATATGACATAAAAAAATAAAGCTGTTCGTAGATTAGAAATCTTCCTATAACCTTCGGGCATCAACAGTTGTGCTTTACACAGAAAGACCTTAGGAATTTCCCGTCATAATAATAGCCGTCTTCGACCTAACGAAGGAGACTAACCGTGGCTAGTTCTTAGGGCAAGAAGCGGTTCCAAGTGCGTCGCGAGATCGTCAAAACCCTTGAGCAGCTGAAGCTGTACAAGGAGACGAAGGACCACGCCATGGTGGTGCCTCTCTGCAGCCGTTCCAAGGACGTGGTGGAGCCGATGCTGAAGCCACAATGGTAACTAAACCGTACATTGACTTTCTCCTGATAAATTAATATGATTTTCTCCTGATAAATTAATATGATTAATTAACTCCTGATAAATTAATAAAATTAATATGATAATAGAATTAATATGAAACAAATGAAACTTTCCGTTACTCTTACTCTCTTTTGCACTTCCTCCTACTTTATTTTCATCTTGTTCCATGAATTCTCTTTGTTAGTTTTTCATTATCTTTCCTCGTGTCCAAACACCGAACATTGCCTTAAACAAGCTAGTGACCGTAATTGTGTATAGTATAAATGTGCTCATTTGCTTCAGTTATTTGAGTTTGTAATTCTCCTTATATTGTTGTTGTATAAAATATGTCTTTAATAAGACCATAAATTGAAATTGTATTTGTTGGTGTCTCCTTCTTTAACACTTTAGGAGAGAAATGTATCAATCAAACGGCTTACAATACTTTTGCTTTTACTTTTTTTTTGTAGTGCTAATTAAGTCCGCACTTAAGATTAAACATTAAAATTTGTAGAAAAAGTACGAAAAGATTGTTGTGATTGGCAATCAGCCGTTTAGCTTAGTGGCTAAAGCGTCTGGCCGCGAATGCCGAAGACTCGGGTTCGATTCCAACAGCGGCGACCATCTTTTCGTACTTTCAAAACAAATTTTAATATTTGTTTTATCTTTTAAAAATGTATATGTGCTCTGCTTGGCGTAAGTCCTGGCCTCCGTTTGACGTCTATTGTAGATCTTTCGAAATCCAAGAGACCAGAGCTGCGCGAAACCATATTAATAGAATGGGATTGTTCTTTAGGTACATAAAGTGCGACACGATGGCCGCTGAGGCGATCAGAGCGGTGAAGACGGGCGAGTTGAAGATAATCCCGGACGTGCACGAGAAGATCTGGTACCACTGGATGGAGAACATCCGCGACTGGTGCATCTCGCGGCAGCTGTGGTGGGGCCACCGCATCCCGGCATACAGGGTCCAGCTCCCGGCTCAGGTGAATTACGGCAGATGGCGCCACCTCAGAATGCATTATGGTATTTTGTGCGGGTTTGGTTAAATTGAAACTTGACCACTGCTACCTAGATCTTTCTAATTGTAGTCTTACTGTAAGGTGAAATTATTCTGTCCTGTAAGGATGTTCTACTAAACATAAATTTTACGTGGACAAACACCCAGATCCAAAAAAACGGCTCACACAATAGTTGTCCCGTGTGGGAATCGAACGAATGACCTCGGCGCCAAAGCCAATATCGTGGCATCTGCGCCACGAAGTCATCGACACCTACGTGTCAACTTAACATTGTTAAATAGATAACTATAAAACATGATGGTAGCGTTATAGTTGCTAAGTACAGTATCATTAGGACGTTAAACTTTTGTGATAAATTCGTAATCAAAATTAGACGTGGTAATCACCATACAATAATCTGTAAACACGGGTCATGATAGTAATTTAGAAATGCTGCTTTTGAATTTCTTAACAATCACAGGATCGACGCGAAATGGATTGTGAAAATGCATTCGTTGGTTGGATAAGAAAGTTAAAATATCGATAATAGTGTTGTCTAGCCATTGTGATGTTTCGAAACACATGCATCGATTGAACGTTCATGGATCTTGTTTACTAGGTATTATATTATATCTAGTGATTGACTATCATCCTACCTGATAATTAATGATGTACTTGCAAGTTATATATATAGTCTCTTATATAGTCGTATCTTACCTAAATATGCTAATTATTATCAAATTTGAAAAACAACTCTATCTAGAGCCTTTAGCATTACTTTCTACACTTGCAACTTGGAAATAAAAATAAAAAATAAAAATACTACAATCAATCAAAGCGGAACTAAAAAAAAATACTTTTCCTAGTCGCTGCCAATGTTTGGACCATAGACAAACACTTGTTTTTGGATATATCCATTGCGGTTTTCGCCTGCCTAAAGCCTGGGTGAATATAGTAAATAGAGTAACTTTTTCGGCACATTGTCAAGGAAATAATAAAAAAAAAGTTCCCTTTTCGGCCGCCGTCGAACTTTGGAGCATGGACAAACAGCCATTTGTTTTTCATACATAGCCGTTGGGACGAGTCGGTCGTATCGACCCGATCCTCAACCGATTCGTTTAGTCGCAGGGCGAAGTCCCCGGGGGCGCATTGCCCCGCCGCCGCCGCACCCGCTCGGGACGCAAGAAGAGCGCCCGCGCACGCACGCGTAGGGCTCCGCCCCCCAACCGCACTATAGTACGTCTATTGCGTGCATTGTTTCGTTTCACGAAATCCATCGCATCTTGCGCATGCCGGTCTTGTTTTATTGCGTCGTAATATTTTTTTTGCGTAACAGTTTTTGTAAGTCTGCCATTAGCCATTGATTTTCTTACTCTTATGTCGGATCGATTAGTTTATGATTAAGTCCGTACTTTGATTCGAATAATGCTTTTTTTTTTTGCATGGTTTTCACGCATGGTGTTTCATACCTCGGGTCTTTTTATATTATTTTTTTTAATCTTGCGTAAGTAAATTCGTATTTAGAATCTTATGCGTAGGAAGAATGATGTTCGCTGTGAATGGTTGTGTTTTGTTACTTTTCGCCAAAATTTTTCTCCCTTCTATTTTATATTTTGCATTTTCATTTATATTTTTTGACTTGAGTATTATAATGTGATATGAAATTATGCACTATTGTTAATTTTTTTAATAATATATATATATATATACACAGATGAGTTTATTAATAGCACTTCAGTAAAATTATGTAGTGAGCCTGCATTAAATTCTTTAAAATAAGAATTTCAGCCTTAAATATCTGATAATAGAACTCCACCTAGAAAATAAACCAAGTACGTTTAAGGAATTACCTTTTGAAACACATTCTTTTTATACAAATAAACGTTAGTGTAGTTATTTTTATTATTTATAATACATTATTATTATTCGAAACGCAGACGGAGGATGAGTTGTGGGTGTCCGCCCATTCGGAGGAGGAGGCGCTCGCCAAGGCGTCCGCCAAGTACGGGGTGGCGAGCGAGCTGATAACCCTCAAGAGGGATGAGGACGTTCTAGACACCTGGTTCTCATCCGGTCTTTTCCCCTTCTCCATATTCGGCTGGCCCGATCAGACGGACGATCTGAAGGTGAGTTTATTGAATCACAGTTTTTTTGTTACGATTTGACCGTGCGGTTTCTCATGTATGAATTGTTTTTGTGTGTACTATGTTACTTTTTGGTTTGTTATTTAAAAAAAATGCTAAAAAAATCATGTCTTTTTGGTGTGTTATCATTTTTGAAAAAAAAAACCGGCCAAGCCTGGTGACGGACGGACAAAAAAAATGGAACCCTAAAAACACTAAAAAATTGTATTTGTTGAAATTTTGAATTTGATTTATATTTTGATGGTTCAATAATGATTGATGTTTTAGCATAAAATAGAATAGAAAATCTTTATTGATTGTCTACAAACACCGTTTACAAAAATAAAAATGAATACTACAGACAAGAGAACAAAATAACTAATCTAAGATAGATAATAATGAATAATGATAATAACTACAAAGATGGTGTATGCGACAACCAAAAGGTAGTCAGCTCAGCATAAAGCTACGTTGAACGTAGCGCTGATTTTCAGCTGACGCCTACAAATGTGAGTCACGGATAATCTGGATGCACAGTGGAAATTAAATATATATATATATTTCACTAGTGTTGTACAATTCTAAAAACTTTTGACAAATTTTATATATTTTATTTAGATATTTGTATTTTAACACCAGAACATCGTTATTATAACACTATTTGTATGGTTATGTAAAGTATTTGATATAGTTTTATATTAGACTCCTTAGAGTATGATAATGGAAATGACATTTATAACTACTGGGACAAAAATTTATTATTTTTTATATTGATTTTATTGTTTATTCTTTTTTTATATTGATATCGAATACTATTACTATATTTTTTTTAACTTAATGACTGCATGGCAACTCAATTGCTAAAGCTAAATTTGCATGCTGTTAAACAGCTAAATAGGTTAAAGCGACAGACATGTACCTAAACATCTTTGTAACCCTATTTATGGCAAATAAATATTTGAATTTGACAATGAGTTTTGCATGCTAATATAACCATTTTTGTTTTAAACAGATGCAGTCTTAAACCCTATTTGTTTTACAGGCGTTTTACCCTGGAACCCTATTGGAGACCGGACACGACATCCTCTTCTTCTGGGTGGCGAGAATGGTCTTCTTCGGGCAGAAGCTGCTCGGCAAACTGCCCTTCAAGTGAGTTGAATTATATATCCCATCATTGCACAGGCTACACCATCAACATTTATCATACGATGGAATAGAATACAAAGAAAATGTATGTACATTTCATTATTTGTATCAATCGGCGTTATTGTCACAAGGTCATGTAATCTTTAAATAATTTCACACCTTGTACTGATTCACACTCACCATTTCTTTATCTTAAGCATTTGAAAAGGATGTGACTGTCGGAGAACCCATCCTGTAGTTTCTGCGGTGATGACGAGGAAACAGCGCTTAGTGAATGCGATGGCCTGGTCGGGAACTGGGAGGGCCCAAGTTGGCAACAGAGAAAGCCAAGACTCATGGCCCCTCATTGACCGTCAGATTCATTAGGGTTGTTGCTGCCAAGAGCTAACTAGCTTCGAAGGGAAGACTACGGCTATATCTCCTAGGTCGCAGTGGGACCTTACTACACAAACCCTTCCACACGAATGTCATTCATAATATGATAGTTATATGGTATGGTATATTAATGGTATGATAGTTAATAAGTTATAAAACATACCTTTTTACCGATTTATATAAATATAACTCAACAATTGTATAACAAGTATAAATACTTATATAAATAGTACTTAGCTTTTCCAGCAGAGTGACAGCCTTAACTCCTAATAACCAATAAAAACTAACTCGCCTACGTGGTAAGATTTGAAATTATACTGATCAAAAACAAATACCCCCACTCTAGGAGAAGAAATATCACGTGACACAGTGAGCGTCAAACCAACAACTTTTATATAAATCACAACAAAATGTACTAATAAATGATTGATAAATTGTTAATTGATAAATTATAAAAAAATAATCATTTCTCTATGTTACATAGATAATCATGACCAACCAATTGCACAGCGAAACTAATTTGACAATGGCCGTTTTGCCCCCCGCAGAGAGGTCTACCTGCACCCGATGGTGCGAGACGCGCACGGGCGCAAGATGTCCAAGTCGCTGGGCAACGTGATCGACCCGGTGGACGTGGTGCGCGGCGTCACCCTGGACCAGCTCCACGGGCAGCTGCTGGAGTCGAACCTGGACCCGCGCGAGGTGGAGAGGGCCCGGCTGGGCCAGAGGCAGGACTACCCCAACGGCATACCCGAGTGCGGCACGGACGCCCTGAGGTGACACTGCTGAAAACAAAAATCTAAATCAGATTTTGGCCATACGAGTATTACACTCGCTTATTGATAGTCAAAATGCTAAGTAAAGTAAAAATATACTTTATTGTACACCAAGAAACATTACAGTATTTATAATTTAAAAAACACGTGTACAACAGGCGGCCTTATCGCTTAAGCAGCGATCTCTTCCAGGCAACCTTAGGGCAGAGAAATTCATACTACCACTGGTTCGGAAAAGAAAGCCTGAGAAGAACCGGCGAAAGAAACTCGGAAGTTGGTAACTTGATAGGAGATAATACAGAAAGAGAGAGAAAGAGAGATGAAACGAGAGATATTACAGGAAGAGAGATGGGGGGGAGGGGAGCTTTTAATCAATAACTAGATGCCTGTAGCTTTAGTTGTATAGTACGTTTCAATATTGACTTTTGATTTTACGCGAACGTATTACTATTATTTATTAAATGAAACGAGTGTACGGATTTTATCGCTTTTTAATTTTGATTATGTATTTCCCAACGTTTCGAACCCTTTCCATTGTTCACGGCCCCGTGACCAAAATTCGACCCTACCAAAATTCCTAAACTAGTTTCATTTAATAGGTACGTTTAAAAATAAAAGTGAAACTATGCAAGTAACAATCCTCGCAGCGGCGAAAAACTTTACGTCCATTATTCTATAAACTTCACATAATCGTTTAATTTACAGCTTCAAATTTCACGTTATCGTTCAATTTATAGATTCGCCCTCTGCGCTATGACCCAGGGGAGGGACTTGAACCTGGACATCCTCAGAGTCCAGGGCTACAGGTTCTTCTGCAACAAACTGTGGAACGCCACCAAGTTTGCCCTCATGTATTTCCCCAAGGATACCACTTATGAGGTGCGTTTCAGACCAATATGTTAGTGCTGCCGGTACAACCAATGGTTTGTTTTGAGTGCTGCGTTTATCAATCATATACAGGGTGATTTTTTTGACGAAGTACATACTTTGAAATAATGTTAATTGAGCATTGCATAATTTAAAAAAAAATATTAATATTTTATTTTGACAAGAAATAACCACAAAAATATCAATTCAATCATTGTTTGCTTATCCCGTTAAGAGTGGTCACCCTATTGATGTGGTTTAATAATTACGCGTTCGGCGAACGGTTTTAGTGCTCGTGAATAGGTTATTGTATGGAGACAGTGAGGCAGAATGAAAAAAGTAAAAATAATCTGAAAAAAAAAAAATGAGGTCACAAGATTCAGATTTAGAATCAAATTCTGTATATGCTCTGTTAATCTGTCCGTCGTCTATAAAATCTACCAGTTATATTTTTGTACAACACTATCGAGGCAGGTCCTTAGTTCGACCTTCGAATTGTATTTAACTCGGGACCTTTGGATTTTTTTTTATATTAGAGAGAAATGAAAATTCTTTATTGAAAACATTAACTATATATATTGTATATGTCTATTTTTCGTTAATTTTATAAGCTTTAAAATGGCATTAGATTCATTAAATTTAAGAAGAATTATGGAGGTTAGGGCGCACCGATAACAAAACACCTTTGATAATGAGTATATAGTGATTTTCCAATTATTCAGGCGCTTAATACCAGCCTACCGGCGCTCTCGCCGATGGACCAATGGATGCTATCGCGTCTCTCGTTAGCCGTGCAGAAGGTGAACTCCGGTTTCCAGCATTACGACTTTCCGTCTGCCACCACCCACTGCTACAACCTGTGGCTCTACGATCTGTGCGACGTTTACCTGGTAAGTACTGTTATTATTCTTTCCTGTGTCCAGACCAAGAATTAGACGAACCAAATAAGGACGGCTTAAAATTCTGTGCGGCCATTCTCGTTTTTAGTGGGAAATGCACGTCATAGTTTAAGATGTTTTCAAAACTCACTTACATAGAAAATTGCTTTCATATACCAACTTTTTTAATAACGACTATTTGGACTAAGCACACAAAATCCACTAAAAACTCACAGACTTTCTAAATGAATATGAATTGAACATAATAAAATCTTGCACAGAATTTCAAGTGCAAATAAGCAATGAGAAAGGACTTGACTGTGGAAATTCATCCACAAAGGTGAACTAAATTGGTTGTAGTTGTAGAAGTGATTCCACCTACCACCTGCTCGTTTGCCCCTTTTCTCTATAAAAAAAACCCACATTTTACCCTGTACAGTAAGGTGTCATCAACAACCATCACCCATAGACACTACAAAATCACCAAGACATATTATCCTGTCTGCCTGTGTGTACTTTATTGATATTATTTTCATATACAGGAATACCTCAAGCCCGTGTTTGCCAGTGGCACAGACTCCGAGAAGGAAGCTGCCAGAAGAACCTTGTACACCACTTTGGAGTATGGATTGAAGCTACTCAGCCCGTTCATGCCCTTCGTCACTGAGGAGTTGTTCCAGCGGCTGCCCAGGGCTGACTCCACCTGCCCCTCAATATGCGTGGCCAGCTATCCCACTGTGAGTCTATGCCATCATAGCCTTGATAATGAATGTATATTAAAGTATGTGCCATTGCGTTTTCATTGTTTACTTACTTAATTGTTATACAGTATAAATGTTATACAGCTCTCACTCATACTCAGATTTCATGAATATTTACATAATAAAATATATCTTGTTTGCTAAACCAGCATTTAAGCTATTTCCATTCCAAATCACATTCCAAATCCATTCTTCTGTGGCACTTTCTCTTTTTAGTTAGGTTCTGTACCTAAAGGGTAAAACGGAACCCTCTTATTAAGACTCCGCTGTCTGTCTGTCTGTCCGTCTTTCACCAGGCTGTATCTCATGAACCGTGATAGTTAGTTGAAATTTTCACAGATGTATTTCTATCGATGCTGTAACAACACATACTAAATTACATTTTTTTTTGCTATTTTTATAGATAAGCGCGAGTCAGATTCTCACTTTACCGTTTTATTTTAACGATGGGTCCTCTGCGTGACGTCAAAACGGGAACAAACACCTAGATCAGGACAATCATTATCTATTCTTATTATTTATTCTTCATTGGTGACCATAACTTGGTTAAAACCAATCTCACTAGCCTTGAGCACAGGCGCAGAGTCGCCAGCCTCTCGGTTTTCTACAGGATACATTTTGGAGAGTGTGCGTTGGAGTTACATGATCTTATTCCTCCCGCCCCTCTCCATCATCGGACAACCAGGCGTTCGGCGGGGCTCCATCCTTATGCTGTCGACGTCCCACGTACAAGAACAAAGCGATTCGCTTCTTCATTTATCATCCGTACAGCTAAGGAATGGAATAGCCTGCCGGCGTCCGTCTTTCCGTCCAAATACAACGTTGGCGTCTTCAAGGCAAGAGCGAATAGGTTTCTACTGAGCTAGCGCGCTTACCATCAACGGCTGCATCGCCACTTACCATCAGGTGGGATGGCAGTCAAGTGCTAACCAGTTTTTGAATAAAAAAAAATATTGGTTACTCAAATACTTGTCCCATGTGTGGCTCTATCAATTATCGATTCTCAATCACGATTTTCACGTTTCACAGGAGTCAGACGCACCTTGGCGGTCGGAGCAACTGGAATCTGAGGTGGAAACCGTGATGAAAATGGTCCATCAGATCCGTTCAACTCGCTCCGAGTACAATCTGACCAACAAGCAGAAAACTACCGCCCATTTGCTGATCTCCTCCGAACTCAAGGTGGATGAGCTGAGAAGTCTGTTCAGAAGTCTCCAATCTCTAGCCAACAGCGAGCTAAGTGATGAACAGCCACCAATGGGATGTTCCATACTCACAATATCTGATAAAATCGAAGTGCATTTGGTGTTGAAGGTACTACATCTTTCCTAAGTAATTTTACTACATATTATGATTTTGAACAAATGGCTCAAAGAAATTTAATCACATGAGAATCTTCGTCCTGTTAGACTGTGTCATAGATTAAAACGCAATTTTATGATAAAAATTGTACAATCACAACTTACGTTCAAATCCCAGGCTTGGCATCAGTCAAATTGTTCATTGTAATTTTAAATGCTTTTTTATCACTTCATATTCATGTGTTCATCGGTAAAGGAAGATATTGTGAGGAAACCTTTTTTGTTTTTTTAAATAACATAAGTAAAAAAGAAAGAGTCCAGCAATCTGCAGTGACTTCGCATGGTGGGCTTAGTCCAAATACCTCGTCAAAGAAGGCTTTTGTCCTGCAGTAGGATATAAATATAAACTGATAATTTACTTTCAATTTTACAATTCATTGGAGTTTAATTATTATTCGTTAGTAGTTAGTATAAATTATTATTTGACTAAAGGCCAATAAAACCTAAAAAAAACGCTTTTTAATTAACAGGGCCTCATCGACCCACAAAAAGAGATCGCAAAGCTGGATAAGAAAAAAGAAACACTGTCACAGACTATAAATAAGCTACAGCAAGCAATGGCGGCAGAAGATTATTCAACTAAAGTCCCTGCAGAGGTCCAAAAGGCTAACACCGAGAAACTCTCCCAGTCCCAGGGAGAGCTTGAGCGGCTTAACAAAGCTATGGAGACACTTAAAGTTATGTAAATGTCGATTTTTTTAAATATATATATATATATAATTATAACTTTTTTGTCACTGTGAATTTCCATAGGCAGCAGTCATCTCTTGCTGCTTGTAAGCCACACTCTCCATAGAAAAAGTTTTACTTCTTATCCATATTTGTTAAAATTCACCTAATACTATATTGTTCTAAGAATACTACAGTGTTATGTTCACATAATATTCGTCAAATATTTAAGGTTTATAAAAATAGAAAACTGGAGATTTATTAAAGTAAGTTGTGGATTTTTTTACACTTGTATGTGATTGGTGATAGTCTGTCACATAGTTTATTTATTGCAAATATAGAATTATAAGATCAATTTAACTATATTGTCTTTAAATACATGTTGGATAGAAATAAAACTGTCTTGGTTGAATGTAACGAAATAAACTAGCTAGTTGATATTTTTGTTACCATTTTTGTATGAAACGCATTATTTGTAAATATTGCAAAGTGAACAATATAAGCAATTTGAGTTAGGCTACTATTTCAATGTTTATTTTACCTTTATTTTTATCTCAATAAAATGAAGTTAAATATTTAAAGATTGCGTTTCATTATACAGTATGGGAAAACGCTATATTTTTAGGTTTCCTTACATTAAAAGGTAAAAAAAGAACCCTTATAAGATCAATCTCTTGTACCTCTGTCTGTCATAGAGTCACCACCGATTTTCTTAGGAAGGGGTGAACCTAGCAAATTGAAATTTATACCAGATACTGAGGTCCATAATCCCTATTAGGTGTGTAAAAATCAAGATCCTGAGTCAACAAGTTAAAATGATATGGGTAAATTAAAATTTTTGTAAAAACTTTGTAAGTACCAAAATATACCAAAATGTGGAAAGATTTGTTATTTAAGCCAGTGGTGACTCCTTTAGCGACGAGTTATGTTGAGAATGGCGACGAGCCAACTCCTTTCAGGATCTCAACAGCTACCATTTTAATGCAACATTATTAGAAATAGAAAGTGATGTGACGAAGGCGACTCATTATTGTAAACATTTAAAGTAAGTACACAATTCTGTGTATATTTTTATAATTAATGTATTATCTTTTATTGTATTTTAAATGTGTTCAAAAATAAATAATAACTGTAACCATAGAATAATGGAAGCAATAAGTGATAATTTATGTTGCATAAGCGTACTATGCGCGAAATTATCCCTACTACGCCAAAAGCTGGTTATCCATTTTCAGCAAATCTTTTTGAATTTTAAATGATAAAAAAATAGTGTTGTTTAACAATAACGCACGCAAACATTAGGTACACAATTCTGTCGGGTTAGCAAGGAACCCATAATTTTAACACAAGGATCATTCTGTTTGGAAAGTCGGTTTGATGCTTTGGTCCGATGGTTATCGTACATGTTTGTTTTCACGGTGGTAGGGCCACGCAGCAACCTCGGCTGTTGCACAAATGGGCATGCTCGTCCGGGTAAGTACCACGACCTGACAGAACACCGGCGTAAAGTGGAAGTATAATACTTTAGCGTTTCGTCTGGTGAGTGAGGTGGCCGAAGCCCAATTTTCAAAAGGTTGTCAACGCATCTGCGGGGTCGGGTATAGCAGATGTCTATGGGCGGCAGTATTCACATAACATCAAGTGAACCGTCTGCTCGCTTGACAACTTTTCACATAAAAAAAAATCAAGAATCGAACCCTGGATCACACCTTTAGTAATAGAAAACCTACGCTGACCTTCAGTATCGACGCATTGGACTATCAGGCTCCGATTTGTGAAATAGGAGTTAAACCTGCTGAGCGAAGATGCTTAAGAAGCGGAGATAGTGGAGCTTTTCTAATAAAATAGGAATCGAAACGCAGTCAAACGCGCGTCTTAGTGGACGAGGATAGTACACTGAAGTTTATCCGAGGCTATTAGGATATCATCAAAAATGTGTAAGATCGCTGAGGTAGTGTTATATTGCTTACGAAAACCAGACTTTACAGAAAGGATATATATTTTTTTTAGGTATGGTATGATCCGATTAGCAACACATTTCCCAAGGTGCAGGTAAAATAGTAATAAGGCCTAAGTCTTACATACTTTCTACCTTTGCAAAAGGCATTAAGATATAATAAGATAAATATGTGTACGATATTTCTTCTGTCCTAAGAAGGCTAGCACAACACTTTGTTTGAAGATCCAGGAGAGGGTATTTTTTTCGTTGGTTAAGCGTCTATTCAGTCTACGGGCTTTAATTATTGCTTCATAGCCTTATTGTGCACTAACTGAGTTAATAGTCTTCGAAAGCCCGCTCAAAAGCGATTTCCCACTTTATTAACTGCTGATAGGGCATATATGATATAGGATATTGTGGGTATCAGTTAAAACAGAAAGCCTGTTCCTACCAACCTTTTTAATCCCACCACAGGCGACATTTATAATATTCTTATGATATAAGAAATGTCCAACTTAAATAGAAAAAATAGTTTTTTTTTTAATTGCTCCAGGAGACACCTCTGTTGAAATTGTATTAATATACAGCGTGTCGTTACCATCGCAACAATAAATGAACACACATATAGGGGATAACTTTTTAAAGTTGTATTAAACATTTAAAATTCTTTAAACATCAATATTTACAGAGTTATTAAATTTTCCAATACAAAGAATTTTAGAACATCCTTACCTATAAAAGCGTAACGTAAAGTTCATTTGTAAAGGTCACAAAGCATATGAATGGGTTGAATGAATTTAAAAGAGACAAAACACACTGTTAGAAGGAGAGGCTTGTAATACGACGCTGTGGCGCGAGTTGTATAGGTGTTACAAATTTTGTTTCATTTTTACTTAACTAGTTTGTTTAAAAAATATGTTTTTTTTAATTATGGATTTTGTTTAACGTTAATATTTTTTATAGTAGCGTTAGACGTGTGTTCATTTATTTTCGCGATGGTAACGACACGCTGTATAGGTTAATAGTTAGGATGAAAATTGCATGGAGTTATATGGATCTGGACTGCGATCTGTAATAACATCCTTTAAGGAAGGTGCGAAAACATTGAGAGTATACGTATGCTTATGATTATAGTAGTATCAGTTATACGCGTAGAAAATGAATGGAATTTGTTTCAAAGGCCGTTATGTCAATAGCTGCTCACATAGAAAATAGCATCACTAAGAAACACTAATTAAAGGATAAAGACAATATAAACGAATCTATAACAATACAAAAAATAAATTAACAGCACAGGTTCGGAAAAAGCCGAAGAATTTACGCAAAACTTGTGTATGTATCCATTAGCGGATAACATTTTCTATTTCTAAACATTATAGAACTGTCAATGTCAAAGCAAGTTCACTTCAGTGATGTGACGAGTTGGATTTTTTTTGACTCGAGTTACTCGAGTTGATTTGGCTACTGACTCGAATCGCAACTCGAGTTGACTCGCATCGAAGTCTCCGGTAGGGACAAAGGGGTGAGGGGGGGGGGGGGACGACGACTCAGCCAATTCGGAGAGCACGAGTCAGCTCGACTCGAGGCTAATTAGATAGGATGTATCAAGTCAAGTAAGTATATAATGATGTTGAATCGTGATGTTATATGGCTACTCGAGTCGATTCTCAACTTTGTATGTGGTCTGAATTAATCCTCTCCTTTTTCTATACACCTCGACCCCGAACAGTGTCCGATGGTTGGGATTTCAAAGACAAAATTTACAATCAATTGGTTTAAGGTTTGACTCGAGTTACTCGAGTCAAATAACTCGAGTCGCACATCGCTAGTTCACTTCTTTATCAATCATCAACGCAAAAATGCTAATTGCTAATATATGTGTTATCATGTAAATAACTACCGTACCTAAGTGATCAATTCTGAGCTAATTATTTTAAACTACTAAATATCGCAAAACATAAATTAGACTTATAATGAGTTTATTGGTATAAATTGAAAAATGGAATTTCCTACACTTGGTGAACATTGCCAAAATGAAGATTGTAAGCAAAAAGACTTTTTACCTCTTCAGTGTAAGTGTGGTAAGGTATTCTGTCGGGAGCATTTCGGAGATCATTGCACTTCAGGTGATTGTGACAGCGCTCCGAAACCAAGAGACATAAACTTGAAAAATGATGATGAAATATTCCGGTGCTCCGAGAAGGGTTGCAAGAAAGGAAATCTACATGAAATGTTGTGTAATAAGTGCCAAAAGCATTTTTGTATTGAACACAGATTTCATCCGTAAGTTAATATATTATCAAGCATAAGATATACAACAGTAAATATTTGTCATACCCTTAGTGTCCTTTCAAATGGTACAGGCTCAGATTGACAGGTTGTCAGCCTTATTAATGGTATGGCTTTGAAGTTAACAAGCTTGTCTCACTTTCTCGGTCTACTACTTTTAAGTTAACGGTGCTGTAATGTGTATTAAAATTATTTACATGTACTGGAAAATCTGACTTGTTTCATAAATTGTTAATTTTTTTAAAGTACTCTTTTTAATACATCATAAATTTCAGATCATGTCCGGAAATTGATGATGAGACAATGGCTACAAAAATAGAACAATATGAAGCACCAAGAAGGCAATTCCAAGAAGCTAATAAATATTTGCAGCAACAGGTTGGATTATTTAAAGTAGTTGTTTAGATTTTAAAGTTGGAACATCTCTTTAATAACCTCACTCATGTTGTACTAGTTCTCTCTAAAGAAATCCAATCCATACTGACTAATCCTTACAAAACAAGATATTTAGCTGAAATGCAATCTTGTATTTCGCATATTATATATATTTTGCACATATTGCTGTATATCTGCAAGATTGATAGAGTGCAATAAGGACAATAGAAAAATTTTAACATTGTCAACTTTTTTACATTTTACTGCTTTAAAATTTGTGGAAAAATCAATGAAATTTTCTTTTGTGAGGAAATAAACCTGTGTCTTATGGAATCACGTCCAGATACAATCCGCTAAGCTTAACGGCTGATGCTATGCCGAGGAGATCTCAATGCATTTTATCTACTGTTCTTTTGCATTTTAAGCAATGATTGTCATATCTATTGTTGTGTAATTACATCATAAAAATTTTATAATGTTAATTCAAACAACTTTAAGCCCATTTTTCTACAATTTTTAAGTGTAGAAATTAGCACAATAAAAATATGATTTAAAAATTTTTTTTCAATAGGAAAGGCAACATCTCTTGTTCTAGTGAACGTGTTTGTATGCTGGAAAGGATATAACAATAGATGCGCCAAGCATTGCTTCAAATGCTAAATAACAATGTAGAATGAAGGCGTTAAGATTTTCGTCGCTGTGGCTATCAGCCGTTTAGCTCAGTGGCTAGAGCGTCAGGCCGCGAATGCCGAAGACGTGGGTTCGATTCCCACAGCGGCGACAATCTTTTCGTACTTTTTCTACATGTTTTAAAATAAGTATAAGTTCAAAACTATACAATATAAAATAATTATTATGTATTTTACAGATAACCGAAAACATAAGGAAAGCCCTACAGTCTTCTGCAAAAGTGAAAACTGCAACTAAGATCCATCTAATGAGAGTGAAACAGAAAGCTTCTGGTCCAAAATCTATTCCTGCCTCAGAAAGAGTTTATTTTGCAATAAAAAAGCCAATCAATATGTCACCTAAACCTGTCAGAATTGTGACAGATGTAGACAAGGTGGAACAGATAGAATCAGTGACTTTAGATCCGGATTTAAAAGACACTGTCCCTGTTTTTATTAGTTGTAAGTGGAGTCTTGGCAGAGTGTTGGACAGTATATGTGACACATGCAATATAAAAAATGACAATAACAAATTTGGTGAAATAAAACTAAGGATTTTCCGGCAGCTTGATGGATATTGTATAAGTCCTTTGAAGATGGATGTGGAGATGTCAGATTTAATAAATAATGAAGTATTGTTAGAGGGAGATAAGTTAGTTGTAGACTATATTAGCAGTGATGTATTGAATAGTTTAGAAGAAAATTCTCAAGTATTTCTAAATTAACAATTTATGTTTTGTTTGTACTATTATTGTACTAACTGAGAAAAAAAGAAGTTAATTATTACCAAATAATATTGTAGTTATTTATTAATTTAATACTAAACCTAATTTTGTTGTACATTTATTGTTCTTATAGTAGTACATGTTTTAAACAACTTCAAAGTTTTAGGAGGTAGCCAACTTAATGTCATCATTAGGTCAATCACAATTACGTTTTAATTTTCTTATAAGAAGAAAATTTTATTGAATTTCTCATCTATTAACTTAAATATCTCCCTAACTATTAACTACTAAAGTCTAGTGAGAAACTCATATGTTGTTTGTTTTCACATTGAAATTCCTAACTTTGAATACATTACAAGGTATTTTTAGGAAATAAAAGATTTTTTGTATGGTAATTACCATAAAACTGTTAATCGTCGATATAAAACGAATGGAAAAATCATCATTTAAAGTCATGATTAATGAAAAACAAAACACAGAGCGTAATAAATAGTATATAATAATATCAGTGATAATTAAATCTAGGAGTTAACAACTAGTTAAAGCACTACTTCGCCGTTCTCCTTGCTGACCTGCGACTGGGAGCGGTTGTAGTCGATGAGGGGCAGCAGGGGCGCGGGGGCGGAGGGGTTCGTGTGCGCGGTGGGCGGCGGCGTCGCGGCCAGCTTGTACTTCTCGATCAGCCAGTTGCACCGCCCGGTCCTCGCGACGAGGGTTATCAGGTCGCGGCGGTACTGCTTGGTGAGGATCGCGTACAGGAACGGGTTCGCGCACGCGTTCAGCGGGTAGAAGAACACCAGGAGCACCTTCCCGTGGCTCACGTCCACCAGCGGCGCGCCGGCCAGGGCCGTCACCCCGAAGAAGGCGACCGGCGCCCAGCACAGCAGGTCCGTTCCGACGAGCAGCGCCATCTTGTTCGCGATCCGACGCTCGGCCGCCGCCGCCGCCCCCCTCCCGCCGTAGCACTCGCCCCCGCCGCCGAGCGAGCGGTATATCTGCACGTAGCACACCACGATCGTCACCCACGCCACCGCGTTGGTGAGGAACAGCGAGCCCTGGTAGACGGCGTCGCCCACGCCGACGCTCTCCACCGGCAGGCAGATGGACGTGGACGAGTAGTCGGAGACGCCGAGCAGCGGCAGCCCCGCCATCAGCAGCGAGAACAGCCACCCGCCCGCCATGATCCTCGCCGCGGCGGCTAAAGAGATCCTCCTCTCGAGGTATATCGCGTACGTTATCGCGAACCACCTCTCCAGCGTGACGATCGTCAACGTGAAAACGGAGAGCTGGCCGGAGAAGACCGATAGGAAGCCGGCGACCTTGCAACCGGCTCCGTACTGCCAGCCGTACGCGTAGTTGAAGAACTCGCCGTACGAGCGCAGGTCGACGACCGCGATCATCGCGAGGTACAGTCCGGTGCACAGGTCCGAGAACGCGAGGTGGCACATGAGGAAGCGCGGTACAGTCAGCTCCGCGTGGTTCGCGAGCAGCACGAGCAGCACGGCCACGTTGCCGACCACCGCCGCGGCGATGACGAACCACACGCTGGCGCGCAGCCACGGCCAGCCCATCACGTCCTCGCACGGGTTCAGCGCGTCCGGCAGCGGGGTGCACTCGACTCGGCGGCGCCTGCCGGAGTGGCGAGCTCCTTAGGAGATGAATGTGAAGCAAAGTGCACCCACAACGAGTGACTGTACGAGTCACAACGGTGAGGTTTTTGGTACGGTCGCTCCATGTTTTTCTCAATCATTGGAAGCTGGTGCCGTTACGGTGAACGCTTACGTGTCATGCTTAGCGAGTTTTTGTTTCCAAATCTTAAGGAGAATGACTTTGATGACATTTGGTTCCAACAGGACGGAACCACTTGCCATACCAACATAACAATCGACGTTTTGCGCACAGAAAATCGAACAATCGACTAGTTTTTGGACTATTTTTTTGGTACTACTCGTTGTCTCTCTTGACCTATTTTTTATGAGAGGCTGTTAAGGATAAATGTAACGTTAACCGTCCAGATGGAATAGAAGTACATGCGATTGAAAATGTACTCAGTAAATGGGTTGATCGGTACTTCCCCGGACAAGCACAAATACAGCAGAAAATGTCCACACACCATTTTTATGTGAGAAGGCGGCAAGCGTGCTGGCGGTTCATCATGTTAAGTGATAACCGCCGCCCATGGACATTTGCAACACCCGTAGGGTTGCAGACGCGTTGCCGCCTTTTAATAAAGTGAGCATACAGTGTTATTTACCCGGCGCTCAAGTTGCCGCACGCCGCCACGTAGGTGACGCCGCGCGACAGCGTGCTGTTCACCAGCTCGTGGAAGCCCTCGTCGTCGTCCTCGAAGCTGCCAGAGTCGGAGAAGTACTCCGAGTCGGTGAGGGTGTACTCCTCGCTGGTGGCGGCCGAGTCTTCGGCCTCCGCCGCGCCCCTGAGCACATCACTATTCGTTGGCCGGCTGCAAATGCACGGGCTAGAGCGCATCACTAATCGTTGGCTGGTAAATGCATGCATTAGAGCACAACACTACTCGTCGGGTGGTTGCAAATGCACCAGCTGTAGCACAACACTACTCGTTAGCTGGTTGCAAATGTACCGGTTAGAGCACAACAATATTCCTTGGCTGGTTGCAAATGCACTGGTTGGAGCGCATCACTATTCGTAGGCTGGTTGCATATTCACGCGGTAACGACTTTTACCCAGGGAATAAAATTGTTAAAAATTTTGTGAGACATTGACGGTGATGAAGGCCCTCCGATAGGTCCCAAAGTACTCGATGCATACACTGATTAAAAGTGAGCTCACCCAACGATGTTGAAAATCTGAAATGGATATTTGTGAAGTGGCATACTTCGACGACGCGGTAGGGTCACGTGGTGGATTATATATATTTACATTATACCCACCTTATACACTATATAGAGTAGACCTTTGCCCTCTAGTAGGACTTACGTATTATTTTACTTTTTAACTTTAATTTTTGTTACAATATTTACAATTCTATAGTGCTAAGTTTAACTACAGTTAGAATAGTAGCAAGAGCATTTCACAACTTGGTTATTTAATTGTTCTTGTATCTTGTATTAACTGATGTTTGTGCTTTCAGTCCAGAGACTATTAAAGCTTCATCTGACGCAGAACCGGTGGGCTAGCCAGAACCCACGGGTTTGGGCCCTCCGCTGTGGGTAGGGCCGCGCATGTGCTCATGCGTGCGTTTAACTACGGCATGTCATCTAAGGGCCATCGAAGTAGCGGTGCGGACCGAGACCCCGATGGCCGTCGACTGTGTTTTTAGCTAATCGGTGGCTGGGGGCGGTGAGAACCGCCCTGGAACGCGGGTGTACCTTGTGTACGCGTTGTGTTGGTCTCGCCGTGCTCGGAGGCGAGGGCGAACTAATGTGTTTGTTGCTACACTAACTGTGTGTGTAGTGTTATCCGGCGGGACCCCCGACGGTGGGTCCGACGTACCTAAGTCCCCTTCCTCGACCAGGTCGATGAGGACGTTTCGCGGGCGACGCTTGTTGACGCTCGCGTTTAGATCGGGTTGGTAATTTGCTGCGCTTACCACCAGAGGGTTGGGATGATGTTCGGCTCTATCGAAGAACCGTTTGGTCAGGTCTTTGAAAAATTCGCGAATCATCGGGAGTCTGCAATCACTGTGCAGGTCGACGTTGCGTTGATACCACTGCGCACCGGTTGCGCGGCGGATGAACTTATTTTGCACTACTTGCAACTTGTGCAAGCGAGTAGGGTGCGTGTGGGCGAAAATCATGCATGCGTAGGACATGATTGGCCGTACGCAAGCTTTGTATAAAAGTAATTTGTGTCTTAAGGACATTTTACTTGACTGGTTAGTTAAAGTGCTTAGCCGGCCGGAGACGAACGCGGCTCTGTTACGGACGTTATTAATATGCGCTGTGAATGACATACGCGAGTCGAAAGTGACTCCTAAATATTTTACCTTTTTCTCCCAGGGGAGCGGTTGGCCATAAAGAGATATTTGCCCTAGCATTCTGCATTGGCGACGACCTTTATAAAGATGTGACGGGTAAGTACTTCGTGTGAAGTGAATCGCCACACTCTTTTCGGGATTTACTTCAATTCTCCATTTGCGGAACCAATCGCCGAGGCGGTTGGCGGCGCTTTGGAGTCGAGTGGTTAGTTGACTAAGGTTGCGGTCTGAATAAAAGAGCGCCGTGTCATCCGCGAAAAGCGCGACATTGACGTGGGGGTCTTTTGGTATATCACTCGTGTAGAGCGTAAAAAGTAAGGGTGAGAGGCAGGAGCCTTGTGGAACGCCAGCCGTGAGGCGGCGGCTAGTGGATAGGGCGCCTTCAACTCGATATCGAAAGGAACGGTTCGACAAGAAGGCCTGAATGGTGTGTACAAGCCTGTCTGGCACTTTGAGTGAGAACAGCTTGTAAAGCAAGCCGTTGTGCCAGACTTTGTCGAATGCCTTTGCGACATCGAAGAAAAGAGCCCCCGTGCTAATATGTTTAGGGTGATTTAGGCCTTTTAGGATATATTCCGTTAAGCGGTATAATTGATCGGGACAGGAATGTCTTGCTCGAAAGCCGAATTGTTCCGCCGGTAGAAGGCCGTTGGAAAACACGTGGTCTTTGAGCCTGTTTAATAGAAGCCGCTCGTAAAGCTTCCCCAGGCAACTAAGGAGGCTGATGGGACGATAACTAGAGGGCTGATTGGCTGGTTTATTCGGCTTGCGAATGCCGATAACCGTGGCTTCTTTCCAGTCGTCCGGAAAGGAACAACTGGAGAGTAAAGTGTTGTAAATGGTCGCCAGTAAACAGATAAGTGGGCCAGGGAGAGCTTTAAGGATTTTATTACTAATATTGTCTGGGCCCGGGGCGGATTTGGGTTTTAAATTTTTGATAATATCTTGGACCTCTTCGGGGGTCACTGAGTTTAATGGATCGCCTTCCGGTGGAAGCGCAGCCCTAGTTTCGATAACGCGGTCCACCTCCGTTAGGTGGGCTGTGTCGATGTGTTCGCGCGATGGCGTACATTGCTGCTCTAGGTTGTCCGCAAGGCATTCGGCTTTTTCGGAGTCATCTAGGGCTAATGAAGTGCTATTAGGCATTGCTAACGGCGGTAGGGATTCGCGGGGCTCTGCTTTCAGACTGCGGGCCAACCGCCAGTAGGCGGTGTGCGATGGCTCGATGTCCTCTAGGAGATTGTCCCACGTTGTATGTCGGTGTTCCGATACACGATCTTTGACTTCTAGCTGAAGGCGTCGAAGTAGGGTTCGGTTCGATTCCGATCGGTATCGGTCGAAGGCGCGTTTGGCTGCATTTTTCTGTCTAATTAGCAGTCTTAGGTCGGGCGGAAAGTTAAACCGTCGGTCGCCCGACAGTTTCACCGTCCGTTCCGAGTCTGTGACTGCGGGAAGTAATGGTTTCTCGGAGACTTGCTATCGCTCGATTTGCGTCATCGAACGTAGCTATCGTCTCGGGTAAGTCTACTAAGTCCTGGTGGTCCAAGGCCTTGAGTTTGACCTCAAGGCGATGCCAGTCCACTACGGTTTTGGTCGGAGGGACCGCGCCGGCGTTCTGGCCCAGTTTGCACAGGACCGGCCTGTGGTCTGATTCTAATTCTTGGATTGTCTCTATCGACGTGATGTCGAGGGAGACCTCCTTGAACAACATGATATCAAGAATACTCGGTGTCGAATGCTGGTAATCGTCCACCGTAGGATATCTTGTGGGAGTCACAGGAGCGATTATGCTATAATTTAAATCGTCAGATAAGTTAAAGAGCTGCCTACCGTTGTTGTTAGCGCAAGTTTGGGGGTCCCATGAGCCGTGTTTGCAGTTTAGATCTCCTGCAATTATCACGGAAGGGCCTAAGTTAAGTAGCGTTTCTAAATCGCTTTGTAGAAGAGTTTTATTCCCCGAGAGGTAGGCTGAAACTAGTACAAGCGGCCTGTGGCCGGTGAGCGCTAACCTACACGCGGATGCCTCTATATGTCTTAGCTCTGGGATATCGAGCGGGCTACAGTGCAAGGACCGTTTATAATATATTAAGGTACCTCCCAGACGGTTTGCTAACCGGTCGTGGCGGACTATATTATAATTTGCGATTTTTGGATCGCGTCTGCTAGGTTTCAAGAAGGTCTCTTGCACTAGAAATATATCGACGTTATAATCGCGAAGGAATTCTGCGATTTCGTCCCTTTGGCCCCTAATGCCGTTTGCGTTAAAATACGAAACAACCAGAGCCCGAGGTTTTAATCTACCTGCGGTTGTACTTTCCATTTTAGTTTTAGTAGCGGTTCTAGGTAACGACGCGGCGAAGCGCGGTTTTATTGCCCGGACTATAAACCTTTATGGTTGATTTGTAAACACCCAAAGGGCGTCTACAAGTTTTTTGTGCTCGTTGAGCGCATTAAGTCGATCGGTGCCACATGTGGCGGCCGATAACTTTGTAGATAGGATGGCGAGCTCTTCCCGGTTTATGCGTTCCAGGAAGCTGCAGATGTTTGCCATTTGGGCAAAAGGGTCGTCTTGGTTCGCGGAAACGACCGGTGTAATAAAATGCACCTGCGGCCTCGGTGCTTGTTGTTTGACAGGCTGCGGTTGGAATGTCGTCGGTCGTGAGGCGACCGGAGGCGCGGCTACCTGCGCGACTGCCTGAGGTTTCGCCCAGGCGTTTACGACGGGTGCGGGCGCGGGAATGTACTTCGCCGGCGCGGATTTCGGGGCCGCGATTTTCGCGAGCGTAATTTTTGCGGGTGCTTTCCTCGCGGGGGTTTTTTGGAGCTTTAGCGCAGCCCCTGTAGCTAGCCGGGTGGCCGGTAGTCAAACAATTTACGCAGTCCGGTGGATCTGCGCAATCTTTAGGACGCGTGCAATCTGTCGTGCCGTGGTCACCGATGCATTTGACGCACCTAGGGTGAGCAAAACAGTTGCGGGCTGTGTGGCCATAGTGTTGGCAGTTATGACACTGCGCAACAACGCCTGACTTCCGTGGAGGCTCAACGACGAGTTCGCTAAGCCCACAGAGCCTCTTCAAATTAAAAATTGCCTTACCTTCCGGGGTAGGGTCCAACTCCACCATTACAATGTCCATCGGGACACGGGTTCTAGGGTGACGTAGGCGACGAACGGCGTGCACCGGGTATCCCTGAGTGCGGATGTCGATTTTTACATTGTCGACATCCGACTCTTTCGGGATTCCCTTTATGACTACCCGAAGTTTGCGTTCTTCAGGCAGCGAGTAGGTATGGAAACCTACTTTGTTTTCGCGTAAATATTTAGTGACGCGGCGGAAGTCATCGATGCTATCGAGGTATACACGGATACCTTGATGGGTGTTCTTCGACCGGGGGTCTCGAATATTGTGGCGTTCGAACCATACGCAAATTTGATGCCATTTAGCTTTCTCCTGGATGATGATAGGCGGAGGAGGCTTGGCTTTTCTTTCGGCGGCGTATTCGGGTGCCGGTTGGACTGCCGCGGCCGCCTTTTTGGCGGGCGTCGCAGTGGATCTTTTAATTGAGGTGGCGGCCTCGCTTTCGGGGTCGCTATCTACAGCGGGGCGTTTCTTGCCCTTCTTTTTTCGTCCAGTGACGACGGTGAAGCCGTCGTCATTGGGTTTACCGGCGGGAGTTAAATCTACCTCCATATCCGATCCGCCGTCCGAGTATGAGTCGAGTACGACGGTGCACAAGGAGGCCGGGGTAGCTTGCGAGGAAGGCGCGACGGGCGTGTTCGCAGCGGCGGATGTCGACGCGACGGGCGCTTCTTGCGTCGCGGAAGGCAACGGGGTTACGGACGCAGAGGGCGCTGGAGATGGCGGCGATGCGATTGCCGGTGAAGGCGGGCTGTCGTTGGCGTATTCAACGACTAATCGTTGTTCGGATTCGAACGCTAGGTAGCTTTCCCAAATGTCGGGACAGCGTTGTCGGACGAACTCCTCGAAAAGGGAGCCCATCGTAAAGTATGTGCCTTTGGGGCTTAGGCCCCGCCGGCGTGTGTAAACTTAATAAGCCTCCCCACCTTGCGGCAGGGAGGAGTGTGCCTAAAAATAACACTTAATTCGCCTGCGCTTTAGGTGCGCTAGGGTGAGTACCTAGCTGTCGCCCAATGCAACAAGCACACAGTTAAAAATTAGGCAATGCCGCCTCTGAGGCGAGAAATGTGTGTAGAATTCTACTTACGGACAGGAACCTGCCTACGAGCACAACACTACACTAACACTAAACTATTGCACTACTTGCACAAATATTTAAATTGCAACCAAAGTTGCGAGTAGCGTCTAATTCGGGTTGGCATGTGCCCTCCGTCTTAGAGAGACGTCCTTTCCGTACGAGAGCACGAAGCGGAATGGTTATTTAATTAAAACAATGGTTAGTAAGACATTATTTATATAATGTTGGCAACGCAACTATAACCATGATGATGTTATAGATACATAGGGAATCACATGCGAGTGTACCAACTTATCTTTATAAATTAGTATAAGCAGTTTTAGTGGAAATTGAGATGTGATAAACTTACTCTTGAGCATCCTCGACGCCGAACTTGTAGACTTTGTTAGAGTTGGGAGATCTCTTACGCCTCTGTTCGGCCGTCAGCTGCTGACACCTCTGCCAAACGCAATAAAAAAACAAAAGAAATACGGATTTAGAAATCAAGAAATAAATAGACTTAAAAAAATTGGAAAAGACATAAACGACCACTTCGTTTTACAGTAACATTTAGTTTTCAACAAACTGTCTAATGCATAATAGCATCGAAAATCGTGTTAAGAACACAATTGGAAACGATTCCGTAAATAATGAATATTGCAAAGATCATAATTGTGTTTTAAAGTTAAATTTTCCAGCGATTTTTGTGACAATATTTCAGAATTTTCTGGCAATCAATAAATAATTAAAAGAATTATGTGATCGTATAAGTAATTGGTCCAGCAATTCAATGTTTTTTATTTTTTATAGTGGCTGATGACTCCGTGGCGTTTGCCGAGGTATTGGCTTCGGCGTCGGGGTCGTGGGTTCGATTTGTGTGACCATCAGTTAGTTGTTTCGCATTTGGGTGTTTTTTGCGTGTGAAATTTATGTTTGTAAAACGTCCTTGCATACAACACAGGATAATGTTATCCTGAAGTAAGGGCAATTTTTACAAAAAATAGAGCAAAAAAAAAAAGGGAGGAATCTTTAGCTTCAAACTATTTCATTTACCTTAGCCATCAACGCCTTCTGCGTCTCATACAACGCGTGGCGTGCAGGATTGTGCCTTTCGGGGAACGCGAAGGCGCAGCAATGGAAGTGGTGCGTCAAGAACGCCTTCTGCAAATGCTGAGGAACGAAGCGCCTATTAAAATATGTTGCAAACTATTAGAAAAAGATTACCTATAAAGTATATAGGGACCAACAAAAGAACCCAAAGGTTAAAAGATAATAAATTAATTGTACTCGGTATAAAATTTACAGTTTAGCAGAAGCATTTAAAAGATAGTACCCTTTAAGTTTAATTTGGTATTAGCGTAACGGGTGAAGTGTGACAAACATAAACTTATATAAAACGTCTTGCTCTAGAATTTGACCAACTGGTAATAGTTAAAGACCGATCTATTGACAAAATTTAAACACAAATTTAAACTTTATATTCTTCTAACATCGCGTTTAATTTTGGTATCGATTAGTCTTTCGTATTATAATTATAACGGGATCATAGTTCATATAATAAGTTTGGTAATATCTTGTCATTACCTGAAATTCATAAATAGATGGAATGTATTTCAAGGAGGGAGTCTTCTCTATTCTCAATGTCTCCAGTTTCTCAAGGCCTTTCGTCGGAAGGGACGTAATGGATGTGCTGCTGAGATCCCTGTGGAGCGAAGAATTGAACATAACACAACATTAAAATATAACGCAACGAGCACGTGTAAATTCAAAGGCCACCCATAGTAGATGCTTCAACTCGTAATAAAATTGACAACACATAAAACTTGACATAAAACTAAAAGCAATAAAATAAGTAAAACTCGCTTAAATGTACATCCATTTATTACAACATAACACATACTACAAACTTGACTATTATGTGTCCGACTATTATAACATTAGATTAAAAGCACTTAATACTAAGAGACTATATTCGCTAAGTACAGTTACAGAGACTTTATTCGCTAAATCTTCATGACAAAGATTGTATCTTATCCTTTAAACGAGCAATTCTTGTATATATATATATATATATATATATATATAATCGGAATCTCGGAAACGGCTCCAGCGATTTTCGTGAAATTTAGTATGTGCGTAGATTCGGGGGCGAAAAATCGATCTAGCTAGGTTTCATTTTTAGAAAATGTCCTTTTACCCCTGTTTTCAGAGAATGAAAAATATAATTCGAATAAAAAAAAAAGAAATTTCGCCGCAAAAGAAAATGTCATAATAGCTCGGTTGGTAATCGGGCGGCCTCAAAACAGACGGCCGTGGTTCGCGTCACGATCATTTACACATTTATTTTTTTACTTTTTTTTCGATTCCAGATCATTGCTTTCTTTATTTTTAATTTTTTGTCGATTTGTTATTTTTTTCCCCTTTTTTTTTAATGTAATTTAAAATATTATGCATATTTCATTACTCAGTAATTTGTATCTAAATGTAATTTCCAAAATACACGATTTACCAAAAAAAAACAAACCGAGCAAAGCTCGGTCCTCCGGGTACTATAAGTTAAAATGTTGATTGACTTCTCTAATACGGGTAAGAATCTTTTATTGTTTTTCTTTTTAATGTATGTGACAAGTTGAATCTATTGAAAGTAAATACTCGACTAATCGATCAGTTAGCAAACATACGTACAGTTGGCGAAGTAGAAGGTTCCCAGCGAACGCTAAATCGTCGAGCCTCTTCAATTTCGCGTTTCCTCGGAAGCTTCTAGAAGTAATAAGTGCTGTTTTAGGACTACCTAATGGTAAAAAAAACAAGTACTGGCTCTCTACTTTATTGGGTGGATAGAAAGTCATAGATCTTGTACTCGTAGGTTCTTTTTAAATTTTTATTCATATACTATTTTAATAGCGTATTTTACAAGGTCAGGGAAACGTGGACAGCTATCCGTTTATGTGTGTTATGTATAAGCAGGTTGGCGCAGATGCTAAGCGATTCATTACGGCGCCGAGAGTCGTAGGTTCGATTCCCACCTGCTATTTGTATGATCCTATCCTACAGATTGCTGTTTCAGATCTGGACATTTGTGTTTGTTATTCGCGGTAAGGATTATTCCTGCATTATAAGGCTAGCATAGCCTGATTCTGATTCCGATATCGATAAAAACGGCAAAAAAACATGTTTGTTGTATGGGAGCCCCACTTAAATGTTATGTTTTTGTATAGCGGCAACAGAAATACATCATCTGTGAAAATTGTAACTGTCGAGCTATCATGGTTCATGAGATATAAGCCTGGTGACAGACGGACAGACTGACAGACAGCGGAGTCTTAGTAATAGGGTCTCGTCTTACCCTTTGGGTGTGGAACCCTAAAAAGAGTGTTTAACGGATTAACACATTTATTTTTAAACATTTACGCTGGATCGAAAAAGATATATACTTACAATTTTGAAATCTGAGCGTTCTTGAATGCGTGCGCCGGCACTTCTTCTATCAAATTGTAATTTAGGGAGCTGAAAGAAAAACATAACATCTTACTAGTTAGTACCTTCAGTTCTCATCTGCAACAATTTAGTGTTTGAAAAAACTTGGTTCTTTAAAATAAATGGATTTATTGCCATAATACAGGGTATAACAAACTACAACAAAAGTGCATATTAGCACCACACTAGTTAAGCCCGTTCTGTGGTCGCCGGTTTCGATTACCGCAAGCAAACATCATTTAGATGGAACATCAAAGAACTTTACTATTGAGTTCTATGCTTTTATAGTTAATCAACAAAAAAATTTAAAAAACACGTTCTACGCAATCACTATTATTTTGTTTTGGTTCTTTGTGAAAAGTTTCATCAGAATATTTATTTCTTATCGCACTGTCGAAGTTTTTAAAATAAAGAAAATTTAAGGAACCATCAATGGTTCAATAGAAGCGATACCATTTCATTTATCGGCCACTCAACCGTTACCCTGATAGCAACACTGTCATTGAAGCAAACGGAAAATTAATTCAGTTTAGTCATATTTTTCTATATATCTGCACTTATATCCGATTGCTTATTTCTGCCAAGCGATCTATCGAGAGGTGAGCAAATGCGTACTATTTCTTTTATTTGTAACCATTCATACCGCTGCAAACCATAAAACCTGGAGATTGCCAAACTGACCCATTTAAATATAATAAGATTTTATTTAACGTGAACATATCCAAAAATGATCACGGCTAGTGATATAAAAAGAAAACCAAACTGGAACAACAAAAAATAATGTAATAAATGAATAAAATCAAATAATAACTGAAAATAAAGAAACGAAAAGTTGACCCCGATTGACGTGGGATTAGTGTAACACTGGAAATTGTGTGCTTTGAGCAGTGTCTTTCTAGTGTTGTTTATACATGTTTAATATGTATTTATTTACAAAAGAACAGTATGTTCAAGTATGTTTATCAGTTTTCTAGTAAGCATAGTATTGGGTTGGCAACTAAGTGATTGTGGATTTCAGTTTTAGCTGTCTCTTTCTCCCATTTTTGTGACATTCGTAAATGTTATGTATTACAAGCGTTGCTTAGTTTGGGACTAGAGAACGTTATGTAACAATGTGTCCGAAAATATTTAAAAGAAAAGTAAAAAAAAAAGAAATAAAAAACTTAAAGGTTCTGTACCTATTGACTTACACTTGATCAGCGCGGACTCGCAGGGCATGTGGCGGAATACGTTTGATGTGGTTGCCCTCGAGGTCGCTAAAAGAAAAAAACTACATTAGAAAAGAATATAGATAAGAGCTGTAGAAATATTGATCCAGTACACCTGTTACCCCATATTATTTTCCAAATAAAATGAACAATTTTTTTCAGTGGAGTTTTCCAATAAAATAATTTATTGTGAATATGATAGTATAAATATTAAAGGAAAATTTGTTTACTAGTGTTTACTGGTCTGAATTTAAATTTTTTTTTTCGAAGTCTCTATTGTGGGGGCCCCTCTTTAGTGGAGGCCTCGGTTCCTCCCTCCCCCCCCTAAATCCGGCCCTGGGCAAAGGTCCCATCGTCTAGCTAGTTTTCTGACTTTACCTAAATTGGACCTTTCATTGTAGTAAAAGTCATGAATCATCATGATTTTGTACGATCAAGGTAAGATAGAGACCTTGATCGTACAAAATCATAAACTACATCATCATCATTAGATAATTGTCAATAAATGTTACATAATTATTATATTTTAACAACGAAAAAACATTTTTTTTTACTTTATTTAAAAAAAAATCATTATACAAAACCATTTGTTATCAAAACAAGACGACTTTCTTTCTGTTATATGTTAAAGAGAAGAGAGTAATGTTAACTTACATGGCTTGCAGGTAAGGTAAGGAGGTGTTGACCTTGGTGTTGTCATGTACGTGACTCAGATTGGGTACCTCCAGCAGACCCGACGTGGTGATTATGCTAAAATTGATTAATCAAATATTTATACCAAATATACTCAGAGATTAATCACATTAAAGGTCTTTCTGTGTTTTTTTATGATTGACTAGCTGCTGCCCGCGACTAGGTCTGCGTAGAACAGGCTGAATGCGTAACATTTAGACAGAAAGACGGATGTACATAAAACATGTATATAAATTATAGCCTATGTGTTATTCTGATGTATAAGCTATATTATTGTAAAGTTTCATTAAAATCCATTCATTAGTATTTGCGTGAAAGAGTAACAAACATCCATCCATACATGTGTCGCCTTTATAATTTTAGTAGAATATTTGAGCTTTCAATACAATACCGTAGACTGTATAAAGCTTCTTAGCTTCGAAGCTCCCGTAAAGGTTACATTTTCTCGGGCTTGATAGACCCTACGTAAGTAAACCAACCCCACGAGTTTTGAACTCTGGTAGAGCCACGTAACAGTCTTCGCTGTTGCACGAATGGGCAGGTCCGGTCGGGTATGTACCACGACCTCGCAGAAGACCAGCGTCAAATGGAAGTGCCATACTTCTGCGTTTTGTCTGGTGAGTGAGGTAGCCGGGGCTCACTTTATTAAATGGTGGCGACGCATTTGCAACCCTGCGGGTGTTTCATATGTCAATGGGCGGTGCCACCCGATTGGGGTGATATGCAGATGCGTTGCCAACCTTTAAAAGTGAGGGTGTAGGGTCAGCCAACCAAATGAAACGAACAAGAATAACACGCCCGGTTTCTTTAAGATCATGAGACATACCAGGGTTAGCCTGACCATTCCAGCAATAGCAGAAGCTGCTGCGCACCCAAGTTATAAGTCGCACAAATAGTTGTTCCGTGTGGGAATTGAACCCACGACCCCCGAGGCCATTAGCTCGGCAACTGCGCCACGGAGTCATCAAATGTGTTTACACTTGTATGTACACATGTATATTTTCTTTTAGAAACAGAAAGGTTTTAGTTAGATTTATTTACTAACAATTACTTGCTCTACATGCAACATTTTAACTTTTACATCATCATCATAGTTTCGGCCTGTTTGAAGGGGAGTCTACTGCTGAACATAGGCCTCCCAAATAGACTGCCACGAAGTACGATCCTGAGCCACCTGCATCCATCGACTTCCCGAACATTTGCACAGATCGTCACTCCATCTAGTGGGGAGTAGTCCTACACTGCGATGGCCAGTACGAGGCTGCCACTCAAAAACCTTTCTTCACCATCGGTTATCAGTTCTACAAGCTATATAACTTTTATATATTATGTATAATTGTTTTTATAGGTCGGACGACATATTGCAGGTTGCCTTTTAATTTAGTTGCCGTTTTATTTATTCTCTGTCATTATACGACAAGACATAAAGGCAAGATCATAATTTTCTTAATTAGGTTCCTTTAATTCTAAAGGTGCGATTTGATAAATACGGGATATTTAAGTATCTGAAATTCATCTATCGGCTAAACCCCTTAATGTTTGTCAAGAGTAAGTTCATCAGTGAGTGTGTCCAAATTTAGAAAGTTCTCGAAGTCTCCAGGACTCTCGGTGACTTTAGACATATTACAGAAACATACATACGTACAATGTGCGGAGCTCGGGCAGAGCTGGCAACGGGGCCACCCTGTGCAGCCGAGGCGCCTGCGTTATAAAACTGAAAGATAAAACTATTTAAAGACAAATATTATCAACAGACAGCGAAATATGCGCCCGCCTGTAACACAAATGATGAACAGTGCAAACCGTTTCCGTATAATCACAAGCGCCCATAAAATTAATAAACGGAATAGGTATTTCGTAATACTATCTTGATCTCAATAGAGACTGGTTATTGATGGCAGTAAATGATGATACGATATTTGTAATATCGTAAGTACCGAGAGGAAAATGAAGGTAATGTAATCTGAATATTAAATTCTTTGATGCATTGTTTAATAAAACGATTTTATCGAGTTTCGTTTTATTTTAATCCCCGATTTCATTGTTACGTAGTGGTCTGTCTTAATATTAAATAACCTTTAATTATTACCAATACCATTAAACATTTATTAGCGATTTGTCTTGTTGAGTTTTAAAGATTTATAAAAAGGATAACGTTTATACGCAAATAAACGTGTGTGAGAAGATGGATTGAGAGGCACCAGCGGGATCCACACTTTAATTTTAAAAAATGTATTTTTAACTATAAAATATTAGTTGCATTAAGAAATAAATTATAATTTATTATCTGTTCAAACTTTCAAACTTTGTGTTATAAGCTTTTCATGTCGACTAATAAAACATTATATTTTATGGGAGCTTTTATTGAAACTGACTGCAAAGGCAAAACAGCAAATAAGAGTACAGTAATGTAAATCATCGATTGTGATAAATTTTGTGATAGGGAAATCTGGAAAAATGTCGTTCTTTGTGGCATTCCAAAAAGGTTTTGTTCAACAGTGAACGTCTCCGGCTAATTTTGTGAAAGGGAAAAATATCATTGTTTGTGGCATGCCTAAGGTTTTCAACATTGGACGTCTTCCGGCTAATGATGAAATATCTGATGCTACCGGCAAACTGGACAGCGGTGGTACTGCTTGTGTGTATGACAAATTGTGTATGACTATTACCGACTACATTTTATACCGATATCAGTGATGACAGATTGAATTGTCATAATAGATATGGCGGGAGTTCTGAATTTCAAATGTCATTGACATTTGGAAAAAAAATCATTGAAATATATCAATTCAGTAAATAATAATCTCTTTTCTTTCCCAAACAAAAGTTTTGTGCAAGTCGTAAACAACTCCTCTAAACTGTCGTGATCCACAATTATCGTTGTGATAACGTTTTAAAATTTATTTTTTAAAATTACAATTATTATTCTTTATTGCGCCTTATACTAAAACTAGAAAAAGAGCTTAGGCAATAATATGATGGAGAAAAAGCGATGAATTGCATAAACAATGTTACACATCGCGATAACATATGTCCGAATGTATATTTAAAAACTGGTAGCGTAGATTTTAGATTTAAAATCGTATACCGATAGGACGCTAATCAGATTTTTATCTACTTTTGTAGATATTTCGGGCCTCGCAATATCGGATAGTATAAGATAAGTAGTTTTCGAGAGTCGGTCATATTATCTTTCTGCATATACTGACCAAATACTTCGATGTGACGTTTTATTTGCTTTTGCCGCAAAATTTATTGCGCTGTCGACACCTTTGATGTTAATATACATTTTTGGTAAAGCCAATTCAAGGAAAGAAATATATTAATGAGCTTCTTCTTTATTCGATTGTATCGGTTAAAATTCAAGCTACATAAAAATCGAGCCGTGGTAGCTCAGTGTCCGGGTGCTCGTCTTTCAAAAAAATATTTCGAAACACATATGAAGTCCGTCAATCCACAGTGGGGTCGCGTGATGGACTTTGCCCTCCTTTACAGAGGAGGTCTTTGTCCAGCAGTGGGACTTTCATAGGCTGTTACTTTTACATTTTTTTTTAGATAAATGTAAACAGGTGCAATTATCTCACCGAAATAAAAGTTCCTTTTCTCTATTGAAAATGAATTTTAAATATCCAACAAAACTTAGTTTTCAGTACAACATTGTGATGTTAATACATTAGAATTCAAAAAGCCCGCCTAAATCTTATACAAACGAATAAAACGAGAATGACAGTGAATGATAAAGGATGAAATGATAATTTTACGATGTTATTAGCGATAATTTTGTTGACCAAAGGCGTGTGGTATACAGTGGTCGCTAAGCGAAAACAATTGCCAGTTTTTTTTACATGGACGATTTTTAAGTTAGGCCACAAATTTACATCGTCCTAGTCTACTTATTATGACGACACCTTATACTACAAATAAGAATAAAACAAGTAATTAAAGAATCGACGACGATAGCCCTACTAATTATAAAATACTAGCTGTTGCCCGCGACTACGTCTGCGAGCCTATGTCTTATTCTGATGTATAAGCTAATTATTGTAAAGTTTCAGTAACATTCATTCAGTAGTTTTTGCGTGAAAGAGTAACAAACATCCATCCATACAGACAAACGTTCGCGTTTATAATATTAGTAAGGATAATTAATAATTATGATAGCATAGCAACTAGCAGGACAACTCAGTCTGTGATCGTAGATAATATTAAATGTTCAGATCGTTTATAGGAAACATATTAAATATATAGATACAATAACTATATGGATTATAAAAAAATCCTGTCTATTAGCCCAACGGCTTAATTATTTGAGCCGTGAGAGGCAAGGACACTGCCACTCGGTTTATACTCGAGCAACCTGAGTTCAATCCCTGGTGCCGGTACGGGCACCGATGAAATTGTTAATTTTAAGTGCTAACTTATCACGTGCTCAACGGTGAAGGAGAACATCGTGAGGAAACCTTCATATATCTGAAATAAAAACAGAAAAGAAAACTATTTCGGAGATATGTGAAGTCTTGCAATCCGCAGTGGGTTCGCGTGGCGTCCTATGCCCTATTAACCTCTACAGAGGAGGCCTGTGCACAGCAGTCGAAACCTCCGTGACGGACACTTACGCCCGGTTTCTGAAACGCTGATCATCGTAGATGTCAACTAATCCGCTGTCAAATGGATTTCAAATTACAATTTAGGTACCAAAAGGATGGTTAAATTCTCTGAATTGACCAGAATGATCTTCTTTATGATCAGAATGATCAATTTAAAGACTTTAAACATCCTTTTGGCAACTAAAATGAAATTTGAAATTCATTTGACAGCTGATTAGTTGACATCTACGATGATCAGTGTTTCAGCAACCGGGCGTTAGATGACTCCGTGGCGCAGTCGCCTTCGGCGTCGGGGGTCGTGGGTTCGGTTCCCACACGGGACAACTATTTGTGCGATCCACAGTTAGTTGTTCGTATCTGGGTGTTTGTCCGCGTGAAATTTATGTTTATAAAGACGTCCTTACAACACAGGATGATGTTATCCTAAAGGGAGGGCAATGATTTTTTTAAATATATTTAGGTGCTTTGATTAGAGTACAGTATGTGTGTAAGTCAACGCATGGCCCAAATGTTGCGCATAGCAATCACAATCGTCAAAACATTTTTTCACAAAGACATTTACGTTTTACGATGTTTTTCTACACCAGCGAGCGCGTGATATTTGAGCACTTAAAATAGCGAGCGCTTGAAAATAAATTGACTCCGACTTCTAACCGGAAACTGGTATACCACGGCTTTACTGAATTCAAAAATAAGTCGTATTGGCCGCATGTGTAATTCGTTAACTACGTCGAAATACGCATATTCATTGCTTGATTCATACTAATTTAATTTTTTTTATTCAGTCCCTATTATTGTGGGTTCAAATTTAATGATCTTGATGGCAAAGCTATGAGTTATTTGAGTTTTATTCACAACTCATAATATTGAATATTTACGTACAAACAATAAATAAAACCAATTGTGAAAGAAAACCAATTAAATATGTTTTTGAAATTCCAATGTTTTTAATGTATTTGTGGTAACGGGGTGGATTCCGAGAATTAAAGTTCGCGAAAATATTTGAAAATTTTGTATAATACAACGAACGAAGCCTAGAAGTTTTAATAATAGTTAATTTTATACGGGGTTTTTAAACGTAGGTGTTTTGAAAATTGACCTCATCAGCTGCTATGTCCGGCTTGAAGGCTGATTGACTTTGGATAACTACATAAAAGAGATAGAAAACATTTTTGATTTATGATTACCAAGCTTATTAGACACAGTTATAAAAATGTTATATACAGCGTGTCGTTACCACCGCGACAATAAATGTACACACATATAGAGGATAACTTTTTAAAATTGGATTAAACATTTACATTCTTTAAAAACAATATTTACCGAGTTATTAAATATTCCAAAACAAACAATTTTAGAACACCCTTACGTATAAAACTGTAACGTAAAGTTCATTTGTAAAGGTCACAAAACATATGAATGGGTTGAATGAATTTAAAAGAGACAAAACATACTGTTAGAAAGAGAGGCTTGTAATGCGACGCTGTGGCGCGAGTTGTATAGGATGTAACAAATTTTGTTTATTTTTACTTACTTAGTTTGTGTGAAAAATATTTTTTTTTAATTATGGATTTCGTTTAACGTTAATATTTTTTTATGATTATTGGGAAGTAGCGTTAGACATGTGTTCATTTATTGTCGCGATGGTAACGACACGCTGTATGTATGTGGGCTTACAACGACTTGAGATTTGGCATCTTGCAGAGATCCTCGACCACGATATGCTCCAACTTCGGCGCGTCGATAATTGATCTGTAAACAATGTTGGTCGATATTCAAACTGTAAAACTAAAAATAAAAAAGTCACTAACCCATCAGTTTCCAGTTCAATTCGTTCGGTAGTTTCTAAAATATTGGCTTTTTGCCTCGAATCTATGGACTCGACCCTCGCGCATAACAGATATTTGTGTGACATACAAATATATTTTTTACCAAAGGGAAGAAAAACATTTTTTGGGAAACAAAAAATAAACAAATTAACCAGTCAAGTATTACGCAGGTATTTGGGCGTTCATCTTTACCACCAGTTTAGTCGTGCACTGACTGACCACGTAATGTATAATAAATAGCGGATCCGTTGTATGGCCTTTCCCATTGTCAGATGCTGCGTAACCGCGTAAGTTTCACTGTGTAGGTAAGTATGGCCACGCATCAGTCTTCGCTGTTGGACGAAGTCCGGGTAAGTACCACGACATCACAGGATACCAGCGCGAATTGGAAGTGTTACACTTCTGCGTTTCGTCTGGTGCGTGAGTTAGCCGGGGCCCACTTTACTAGAAGGTGGCGACGCATCTGCAACCTTCGTGAGGATATTACAAGTGTCCATGGGTGACGGCTACCACAACATCAGGTGTACGGCAAGCTCGCTTGCCACCTCCTCCCAAAAAAAACGGTGATTTAAACCACCAGTTGAGTCATACGCTAGCTGTCCTCGTCACCTATAAGGAAGACTTCGATTTAGCGTGGATATTTCTGCAGATTCTATGGCGTCAACAAGAAAAAACATATATGATTTATTTTTATCATTGTAAGTTAAAGCATAAATGTATTTTTTTAACCCTAGTTATAGTTTAAGCTTTTTTATTTTATTTAGTTTTCTTTTTTGTTTATTATTTTCCCATTTAAATTTAATATCTGTTTATGTTAGTTATTAAGATACCTATTGTCCTTTTTCCGTTCGATTTAAATGCATGTTGTGTCTACATCTAGAAGTATGCACTTTTGTGTTTGGAACAATTGGAAGCTTATATAAACTTATGTAAAGGTTGTATTCAGTTTTGTAGACCTAATGAAGGAAAAAAAAAAACAAAGAGACTGTTGTGCGCTTACAGGTGCTCGACGTGGTGCAGGTGGTATCCGGCGCTGTGAATTGTCCGCGCCGTGAGCCTTGTGATGTTGCTCTGACCAGCACCACGGAGACACCACCGCCTCCGTCGCCGTGCACCGGCCTGCCCACTGCAAGCACCAATCCATAGATCACATCAGACGATATCCCAAGATAGTTAGCGTAAAGCTGCAATGGCTCAAAACGGTGTTAGTTTGGAAGTTAGTTAGTTTGGAATTTGGTAAGGATGCTGTTAGTTATCCGAACGTCACAATTTAAAAACAATATTGTATCATATTGGTAAGTCAATTCCCCATCCAATGTAATTAATGATATAAAACGTGAAATTTCTGACCAGTGATGATAAGATAGTTAAACGTAAAATTTTCATTTTACTAATGTATATTTTTGCCCTGGCTCATTTACTAGTTTATTTCACCAAATGAAATCAAAATCATTTATTCATCGACATAAGAAACTTACATTTCTTCTATCGATAGTCATATTTTTTTAATCTACCACTGTTTCGTAATGAGGTTCCTCTAGCGGAGAAGAAACAGGCGAAAGAAACTCTGTAGGTATCCTCTTTTTTGTAATTCATTTTTTTTCTTAAAAGCAATTAAAATATTATACAACTGATTTTTTTTTCCTTTTAGAAATAACTTGGGAGCGATCAACTCATTCCCAGGGGTTATTGTCATTAATGTGTTCATTTGTATTATACAATGATAACCCTTTTTATAAAGTTTTTCTTTAATTAATTTCTTAAACCTGTTATTAGGCAGGTTTTGCGCATTTACTGGGATTTTGTTGTAAAAGCGTATATATACATCGCCCCATGAACGAGTTACTTACTCAATGGAGTCTAGTAACTGGCGTTACAAGCTTGTGTTTGTTCCTAGTGTTAACATTGTGTACATCAGTATTCTTATTAAAATTATTAATATTTCTACGCACATACACGACATTTTCATATATATAGTGAGAGGCTAAGGTTAATATATTTATTTCTTTAAACTTCTCTCTCAAAGATGCATTCAAATCTAAATCTAACTCCATCTAATCAATCCCCCCCATTTATAAGTACATTGGTAGCACCCAAATGTTTAACAATAGGTGTTGAAAACTTCATACATTTAGTTTTATTACCATTTAATAGTAAATTGTTAGTATTAAACCAATAGACTAGGTATTTCTGAAATACCATTATTTACCTCGTCAAGTGTAACCAGCTATCGATCGATTTTAAAAATTAATGATGTATCATCGGCAAATAACACTATGTCGTGTTTATTCCCTAAAATAAAAAAAAGTTAATCCAAACATGACAGCTTTTATATAAATTATACGCGACATACATAATGCAATTACAAAATGAAGCGACATATTTGCAGAACAAAAAAGTTTCCCGTTTAAAGCCAAATCTTACTAATACTAAACTTAAGTCCTTAGTAAAGAAAAAGAAAAAGTTAGTACTCCTAGTAGTTTCCTTAATTAAAATGTCACTATTTATAGTGCTATAAGTCTTTCACTCCACTGGGGTAGGCAGAAGCTACTCGTTTTCGCTGCAAAATAATTAATTGATACCAACTGGACGCACGCATCGCTAAATCGCCAAAGGGCGAATCCATCTATTTCCGTCTGTAACACCACTCGAAACTGAAATAACTGACGCATGAAGGATGCGGCTTGTGGACGCCATATTGCGAAATCTTGGCATTATGACACGCCGTGATGTTTATGCGTCGTCGACCCAATTGCAAGCGAACCTCGTTAATTATCCGGCTTCAAAGGATTCTGCATAAAGTCGCGGATATCTTCGAGAAATGGGATCCAGAAGGAGTTTGATGCAAAAAACGTTGAAAATGGGTTTCTTTCGCCAGCTCATCAGGTCAGTTCTTCTTTCTCGAAGCGGTAGTAGTATTTTGACAATCAATAAGTGTCAAAATCATTGTTCCTGCCCTTATTCCACCTAGGTGGGGTCGGTGCAACATGTGAATCATGTTGTAAGCAGTTTTGCCTGTTTTTTTACGACCGGCCGTCTGCGTGAAGTCAACCCTACAAAACAAAACAAACAACCAGACCGGAACAATTATCTGTGGGTCACACAAACACTTGTTCCGTGTGGGAATTGAACCGACGACCACGCCACGCCGACACAACTGAGTTTTCAGTTCTATTTTCAATAAGGATATTTGTATTTGTATTTGAAAAACTTTAAAAACCGTTTCGTAGTGGAAGAATGTTCAGGATTGCCTGATTCAAAAATTCAAAAATAAAGCAGAATGCAAACATAGAAAGCTATCTTATATCTCCATGTATTTTTAGACAAGTAGAAAAAAAAATGTTCAAAAAGTATATAAAAAGTTTTTATAAATGCTTTCAGTTAAAAAATTTCTTATAAAGAATGTATGACAATGCCATCTATTAACAACTTTTTCTTGCAAATAAGATACGTCTTATTGATAAATACTTAATTACACGTTATTACATTACGTGTATACCGTTACCATTTTAATACTAATACCGTGGTACAGTGCTAAAATTTCGCAAGGCTCAAAAACATACGAGTAGCTCTGATGTTAATAATAAAGTTATATTCGACTACGCATTCTTCAAGACCGAGCTAATAAAAACTGACGCTCAATTCCTGAGAGTTGCAATCTGAATATTAAAAAATTTAATTTATTACTTGTTAATATTCTATAGCCGTGATAGCTCAGTCCGAGTGGTCTCCTTTCATTTAATATACTCGAACAACCTGAGTTCGATCCCCTGTGCCAGCACCAATGAAATTGTCAATTTTAAGTGCTAACTTATCACGTGCTCAGCGGTGGAAGAAAACATCGTGAGGAAACCTGCATGTAATTTTGGAAATAATAACAAAAAAAATATTTCGAAGATATGTGAAGTCCGCCAAGCCACAGTGGGGCTGCGTGGTGGACTATGCCCTGATACCCTCTGCACAGAGGAGGCCTTTGCCCAGCAGTAGGACATGTATAGGCTGATACTTTACTTTACTTTTTTTAATATTCTATGAACATTCATTTATAACGTGATTGATTGACAACCAATTTAAGGAATTATTAAAATTTTGAAAACCAATCGAGTCATCTAATATACAGATAAAATAAGTCAATTTTTTTCTTTTTTTATGTGAAAAGTTGACGAGCGAGCAGGCAGTTCACCTGATGTTAAGTGAATACCGCCGCCCATGGACATCTGCCACACTCGAGGGTTAGATGCGTCGACAACCTTTTGAAAATCGGGCTCCGGCTACCTCAAATTTGATGAGTTTCCTGCAATTTGAACAAACGGAGTGTCGAAATGAACAGACAAAATTACAGTCCATTTTGTCATTAGATTTTGTATACATCCACTTTTGAAAGTCATAAATGAATTTCGTACATGTTACTAATTATATAAAATGAAGATTGAAATATCCAATTATATGTTAAGTTAAAATGCCTTAAGTTTCGTTCTCTTGTTATGTTTTCAAATCTTAAAAATGCTTTTTTATAGAAATTAAAAAAAAAAACTCTTTCTATACTCCTTCATATAAACTTTAATTATGAAAAATCGTAGTCCTCCGTGCGCGAAAGTCTTATAAAAGTGTATGCAAAAAGATTTTTCTTCGCGTATAAGAGTTCTAACGTTTTTACCTTGATACTAATATTTTAACTATTACTGAACTTTAATATGAACAACTATTATAACGACAAGCAGCACTAGCGGTTATATCACCGTCCGGGAACGCAGCCGAAATCCCAGTGGCCACTGCTCCATGCGACCATGTGTCCCTTGGCTCGAGAAGATAACGTCATATCCGGTATACAGTGTTGCCAGCGCCAACACGCGTAGGTATAGATAAGTCGATTATAAGTAGGTTTAACAGTCTCAAGTAAAATAAAAATTGTATGTAGTACCCCAAATTCAGTTTGATATACGTCGTAAATTCGGACAGCTTCAAAGAGGAGGAAGCGGGTAATGTTTTATTGCTATTTATTTACGCTCGGATATTGTGTTTCCAAACGTTTTGCAATCGGCAGGAATTACTATCATTTTTATATTTACTTACCGGCTGCATAATCGCACCTAAAAATGGATTTATTCCTAATATTATTACAAACGTTTCTTCCTACCCAAACTCCGTGAAACCAGAGGCCTCTACATGATTTAAGACGGCCACTAATATTATCAATGCGCTAACGCGATGAACCGTACGGTCATTGACCTCGGAATTAAACCATAACGTAACGTAGACGTTGATTTATGGTCATATATTATTTGAACCAAAACATTCAAAATTAATTACAAAACGACCATAACGTAATCATAAATGACCGTTCTAAAATGTTTGTCTGTCTGTCTTTGTAACCGTTTCAGTGTCCATTTAAGACATTTTGGACATTAAAACGGAGTTCAATGAAACTTATACGATTTAAAACGAGTAACTTAATTTAAATTTTTGCGTATATTAGGTTTCGATAATTTAACATTGCAGACCATATTAATTTTATTACGAGTATTTAATACCTAGCTGTGCCCGCGTATTCGTCTGTGTGGAATTTGAAATAAATAAATAAAATTTCTAAAATTAAAGCAGCCTATGTTATTCCTTACTATATCAGGTATCCGCCAGTAAAAGTCTCGTCAAAATTGGCCGTTTCAGAGATTAGCCGGAACAAACAGACAGAGAGACAGATAAAAATTGTAAAAAAAAAATATTTTGGTACATGGTATACCGTGTATATATCCATATGCATTTAGTATAAATAGGTTATTTTAATATTATAAAGAGACACTCCAATTATTTATCTATAGTAATGGATAGAAGTAGAAGAAATAGCTGAAAGCTTCGCTATGGCCTTTTTTACATTTCCGTACTTAGGAATAAAGAGTATTTATAAAGTTATAAACACATTCTCCTGTTAAATAGCTATGTTGTTAATAAACAACAAGTAAATCCATCAGTAAAGTTTATGCGTTTTGTGTACACGAACATACGGAAGCAAAATTTTTATGTTAGTTACTTTAATTCCGGTACCAGGTACACGGAGATAAAATCCAAGCGCAGAAAAATTGCAAGAAATTACTATAAGGTCATCCCGTGGATTAAAACATACATTTGTCGGTAGTCCGAGCTAATTATAAAATTAGGTCGTCAATAATAGTCACCAAGACTGCAGTTTTCGAATCGCCTTGAGTTCAAAGTCAAAATTAAACGCGAGAAATACCAAAATAATAATTAGCTTAGTAAAATAATACATAAACGATTAGCTTCCTACATAACATATGAACAAGTACGATAACTCAGAGAGTTTCATGATAAATATCTGTCGGGGGGCTGCAACACAAAATAGCAGTTGCACCAACAATGCTCGTTTCCAGACGCGTTTATTTCGACTTTCCACGGACCGTTCTATTCGTTCGAATGTTTGCTGTTTCGCGTGTGTACTGTTTAACGATCGGCTGAAGAGTATTAACTGATGTTTTTGCGTTCAGTCCCGAGACTACTAAAGCTTCATCTGACGCAGAACCGGTGGGCTAGCCAGAACCCACGGGTTTGGGCCCTCCGCTGTGGGTGGGGCCGCGCATGTGCTCATGCGTGCGTTTAACTACGTGCTGGAGATTAGCGCCAACGATGTAGGAGTCACGATCTCTGCGCTTAATTCCGGTCTAAAACAAACACCCGCATCCGCCCTATGCGCGAGTCACATACATTTCAAGGTTCTGTCGACGGTGTCACAGTCAGTTCAGCCTGTTTGAGTCCACTGCTGAACATAGGCACAACCGCCACGAAGCTCGATTTGAGCCACCTGCGTCCATCGGTTTCCCGCACAGGTCACTCAATCTAGTGGGGGTTCGCGGAAGGTATAATTTTTTTTATGGAAAAGGAGGCAAACGAGCAAGCGGATCACGTGTTGGTTATTGATCACCGTCAATTAAGGACACTGGCATCATCGGAGTAGTCTCAACTGCGATGTCGGAATTTGAGATCTATTTCTATCTTGAAGTAGGCTCTATTTTGGTGAAAAATACGCAAGTTGCTATATACTCGATGGAGCTGACATAGTGTCATCTGCATAAGATAGAGAAGAAGAGTTAAACAACAGTTCAAGTAATCAAGATGACACAACAAAAGACACAAGAGGTACAAAAAGAGCTCGATAAGGTATCGAGAATGCTCCAAAACGGCATTCTTATACGTAATGTCAAAAAATAAAAACAGGTCTGTTACCGCATAACCAACGAAACTTTGAATTAAAAATTCTACATATCCCTGTTTTAGAGAACTATGTATATTGTTGCTACACAGACAAATAAACTTTTACAGATCTTGCATTTACCACCTGAGACTACATCAATGCTTACCTTCAAATAGGATAGGCAGTAATAAAACGCTAACCGCTTTCTTATTAAAAGCAAGTAAAAGTATGTGTGTCTTATATACGCACGTTTAGCGTAACAAAAGAAAATTTTTTAATTCTATCCCCTGTGCCAGTACCTAGTCTTTGTTTGTGAAAATGACATTAAAGACATTTACTGTCATTTTCACAAACAAAGTAACAATGTAAAACAAAGTAACAAGACAAAAATGAAATTTATAACGGTTTAATTATATAACTTGGAATCATCACTACGTAGTATAAAACAAAGTCGGCCAGCAGTCTGTCTGTTCCTATGTATGCTTAGTTCTTT